CCTAGCACAGTGGGTCTTAAGAGGTGAAAGGGCTCGTGAGCTACGTGCTTTCAGCTCAAGTTTTCTGGGTCACGTCACTTCGATGGTGGTGATTCGCAGGCCTCTGAATCACAGCTTTTTGTCACGTGACTCACCAAATCAAAAGTCCCTGAGATCTTGCGGGAAACCAAGCAACTACAGGTGAGCATGGTGTTTCGCAAGGAACGGCTTGGATCTAGAACGAGAGAGAGACTTGTGCCCCGGAAAGGGGTGCTCCCCCACCCCCGCCCCCCCCGGCTTGATGCAGGAAACTCGCCCCTTCTCTCACCTTTTCACGTTGCGTGTGGTGTCTCCCACTGACCCAAACTCCCCCACCCTCCCAGCCTCCGGGACTTCCTTCCCCTCTCCTATGCAAACTCGGAGGATTCGTTCTTGCACCCAATGCGGTGCTTGTCAAGAGAAGAGCTTCTCGTGACTCTGGGAGAAGTCTTTAATCGTGGGAGTGCCTTCCTCTAGCTTTGTCCTCCTCCCGTAACGGGGGGGGGGAACTCTCATCCTCCTGTTGTATGCGGGAGGGGGGGAGAGGGGGGGAGGTGGGGGGCTTCCCTCTGCGGTTCTCCGATTGTGATATGCACTCGTGGATCTGCAGGAGCTTCTTTTTCATGAGTGCTTTGCCCATCTCAGGGCTACGAGAATCTACGAAACAGGGACCTCGGGGGCTGGTATGAGGCTTATGGTCTTGCTCTCGGGGGGCTGGAGAGGGTTGCACCTGGGCTGATGGAACGATCTCGAAGTTGTGGCCACAGCCCTGCGAGCGTCTTGTCGTCAACGCTTGGTCTCTATGCGAAAGCACCGAAGTACAGATGCGTGAGTCATGCGCCCCCCCCCCCCCATTAATTGTAAACGCTTGCGCGCGCCGCCTCGACAGCCGGGCCGGCCCCAGCACAGGAAAGGAGGAAAGAGGGTTTCGCAAAAAAAGAGGGGGGGGGGGGGTGGGGGGTGGGGGGGTGTGGGGGGGGGTGGGGGGGGGTGTGGGGGGGGGGGTGGGGGGGGGGGGGGGGGGGGGGGGGGGGGTGGGGGGGGGGGGGGGGGGTGGGGGGGGTGGGGGGGGGGTGGAGGGGGGTGGAGGGGGGTTGGGGGGGGTGTGGGGGGAGGAGGCCCGATCCGGGTCTGCTTGTTCCAGACGCTTCTCGGCAGGAAGCCGAGGCGAATATGGAAAAGGCCTGTTCTTGTTTTTTCTTCTTCCTTGGAGATGGGTGTGGTGCACCATTGAAGACGTGTGTGATGGACTTAAGGCCGACACCTTGGGCCCAGGTTGGCCAGCAACATTTCTAGTATTCTGGTGGCTTGATAATGCCTCTTTCTGTTGTCTGAAATGAAGGTTCATTTAACTTTCCGCTCGCAGGCCTCGGCCCTCTCCCATGGCAATGAGGCGCCAATATTTTTTTTGAGTTGCGGTGACTCTTGGCTTTTTACTTGCGTGCGATCTTGGAGGTGCAATTCCTGGACGATGTCGTAATTGTGGCATCGCCAGAAGTTCCCGACAATGTTCTTGAGGCTAGTCCATTCTTTTTTGAAAGTCCGGAGCAGCGGCATGATGAGAGGCATCCAGACTTGGTGCAAACACCAACTAAGAGGGAATCAAGCTGAACACTTTAGAAGGACAAGCTACGGACACGCAAGAACGGACAGAAGATGCAAACAATGACAGCGCAATCAAACAAGGAAAGGGTATTTAGCATACGGCTTATCGACATGCAAACGCAGAGTTCGACAAATGAAGGTTATTGACCATGGCGGGCAACGTCGTTGAACCATAGTTCATAGATGTTTATAGGATCGGCTAGTTTCAAGAGTAACACAAACCATGGTTTCTGTGGGATATCCACGTGTTGGTACTCGTACGTAGGCAGCGGTGCGTATGGGTGCGGTAGTTGTGGTGCGTGAGGTGAAGTTCGATGGTGCGTGTGGAGTGTGTCGACGGTGGGTGTTTCATGTGAGGTCGATAGGGCGCCGTACCAGTGCACCATTCCCGCACCACTGCACTATGCATAGTGCACACGTATGGTGCAGTGGTGGTGCAAAAACAGCGCAGGGTATTGGGGAGCCGGAATGGTGCACCATTCATGCGCTGTTGTTCCGCACCCTCCGCACATCTCCGCACCATTGCACTGCACCCTCGGCGCCATTGCGTCCGCGTCGTCTGCACCACAGCACCGCCCTCCAGGGGGCACCATTGCAACGCATCCACCGCACCGTCCGCACCATGTCACTACACCCTCCCTGCTTCGTCCCGGCATAGCTCATAGAGCACTACACTTGAGATAGCAAGTTTCGGAAGGGGACAGATCTTTGCTGCATTTTTTCGCATATGTTTTTCCACGTTTTAAAAGTGTGCACGACGTCTGTTTGATTTTTCATACAGCGCGCATTCAACGATCACGCTATGACTTAGTACAACCACTTGACGCGCATGTGTGATTCGGCTTGGCCCGTGTGAAGAAGTTGTACAGAGTTTCACTTAGTCACTTAGTCTGAGTGTCCTGCAGGAGACCATGGTCAAGAGAAGATTGCCGCTGAAGTCAGTGCGGGATCGGCAACCGACCAGCTGGGTGGTAAGCTCAGCCAGCATCGTTGCAGGAACTGAGAAGCACCCGACATCATGATCTAGGTGGCAGGGATGCCAGCTGACGATAGATGTGTCCGCTTCCAGGAAGCTTTGTAGCAAGCAGCATGGGTGAGCTTCTTTACCGCGGCCGGCATTGATTTGTCTGAGATGACAACATACGGTGTCTGGGCAGGACTTGCCGACGAGTCCTTCGGGCGACAGGCCTAGGATGCACCTTCTTGCAGGTGGTGCCCGGGCGCGCCTGAGTATGCTTGAAGGACCGGGTCGCCGAGTGCTTCTTCGACTAGCAAGTCTGATTCGCAGACTGCATACGTGAGTACCAGCATGAAGCACCGAACATCGGAGGCGCACATGCCGCTTCTTTGTTTTAGTTGGGTGTGTGCGTACGTTCTTCGCCTGTCCAGGGAAGCAGAGGTCGTGCTTCAGAAGACGACATGCCAAGTGATGCTGTGGACCAAACTTTTTTAGACAAAAAATGTTGTTAGATTCGTTACATGATCCTCTTTCGTCCATGAGACATTCCGCGCTTCCCGTCGGCCTGAGGCCGAAACAGTTTCGAGCGCGAGCTCAAGAAACCCTCGCTCTCGGCTGACCACGCCGTTCATGTCGGCGTTTCCCTTGGCTCGACTACATGATGCTTGGAAGAAGGGCATTTCTTCGAGTTGAAACAAAACTGAAGCTCAGGCAGTAGACTGGGGCTACAGAGTCACTCCTACCTCAGCAGAGGCCGCTTGCAACACAAGCAGATTCAGATCACTGCGCAAGGGTCCATGTCTAAATGCAATGAAGGGAGTGCATCTTTTTTCGCATCTTGGCCTTCGCTTCAGGGCACGGGCAGCGACAGCGTGGCAAGCTTCAGCCGCCGCAGGAGGCCTGGCCACTTCAACGGCCACTGGCGGAAGGTGTGCTGTCCGTGTTTAAGCTGAGTGGGCAGGTCGAAGTCGACCTTGGAGTGCAGCGCTCAGCCTGACTAACGTCCTCGCTACACAGACTTCTTGCCCTCGACAGACTCGGTCGTGTGCAAACTGTGGTGCGAAAGGAGGGCACGAACACCTCCTGACTTCCATGGGGGCTCTCTCAGGTTTCCAAATCCAACGCATCTCTTGCCAGAAGAAGTTCATGGAAGCTTGCGCTGGGGGTGCAGAGGACCAGAGGGAAAAGGAAGGAGGGGAAGAAGGGTGGGGGCTGAGTTGGGAGAGGCACGGGGGCTGAGACACGGAAGTAGAGAGGTTCTTGCTCTCTGATGAGGGAGTGAAAAGAGAATGCACACATACAGGAATGAATGAATGGGAGCAAAGGAACGGCATGGGAAGTGAATGGAGGAAGAAAAGAAAGGCGCAGGAGGCAGAAGCTCATCAAAAAGGCATCTCCGCGCTCCAACGGCCAAGAACTTCAGGATCCTCTGGGGAGACATGGTGATTTGCGTTGACCGAGTCCTTATTCGTCGCCAGCTGACCGGAATCTTGTGAAGCAGGTGCTGCGCCTCTCCTTGTCCTGTGTGCCTGACTGGCTGGAAAAGAGCACAGCTGACCTGCAGGTCAGCATAGAGTCCAGCATCGAGAGGGAGATCACGGAGCGGGTGAAGTTGAATGTGTGGACCTCGGGGCTACTGTGCTTGCTATATATTGCTATGTGGCTGTTCGTGACGGATGTCAGAGCCATATGGCAGGCTCAGAGGCAAGCCAGAGAAGAACGCTTGGTCCAAGTGGGGAGTGCAGATGCCAATGTGCCGGGCACTGCAAATATTGACAGACATCTAGAGATGGATGGCGTCACTGAGCGGACAAGATGAGTGACAGGTGCCGCTGGCACTCGAACGCTGTTCCTCAGCCGATGGTGGCAACCCTGAAGCAGATTTGGCCAAGCACATCGAGCCTCGGCCGAAAGCGTCAACCGGACTGGGTGGACTGGGTCTTCAATTTTGAGAAACGGTTTTGCTGCAGGTCCCTGGTGCCGTCAAAGACACCGAACTGCTGCGGAACACGTTGCGCTCGGCGCCAAGCATCTTTCAGGGAGAACGCTGCATGCGTGCGGTTCTCAAGTTGAGGTAACCTTGCCTTCTTCGAGACCTTCGATGATGACGCGCTTCATTGCTTGATCGAGGACAGGGTAACTGCAAAGTCGAAATTCCCCAGACCGTTGGAGTATTCTCTTTCCAGCAAGTGGGTTCGGACCTGCTTCTGTGTGTGGTGACAGGCCATGGAGGTCTATGAGTTCCAACATGGGGAAAAGGTTGTTCGCCAAGGAGACACGGATGGTGCGCCGAGGTAATTGTTGTGAGGTTTGGACCGTTCAAGACAAGAACAACAAGATCATTTTGGAGTAGAGGCCATGCCTTGCCAAAACATCCTAGAGATGGCGTGTTGGAAATGTTCTTTTTGCCCAGCAACAGATGATCGATGAGTCTGGCAGTGGTTTGTGCCCTGCTATGCGTTGCTCTAGTTTCAGAGGCATTTCCGGGTCCTTACATGCTGTCGGCAACACCTGGTTTGGAGCCCGCCGTCTGACTCGGCAGACGTGGCCGCAAGGCAGCGACCTCGATGTACAGATATCCGCAGCCGAGCAGACTCTCAGTTTTTTGGTCCTTCGACCAGTCTTGTGTTGTTCCACCTTCCACAGCACCGTGGACGCGGGCTTGTCTTTCTTTGTCTGTCACCTGTGTTGGTGTGAAGCCGGAAGTCCTCAACTAGGTCATTCCTCCCACAGAAGCAGAAGTTGCAAGCTGTTTGTTGTCTTGACACGTGCTTTGCCCCTCTGCCTCTTGAGCTCGAAAACCAGCAAGTGGCTTGCCAGAATATCGAAACAGAGCAAGTTGTCACATCAACAGATGCTTGAGACCGGCAAGGTGGCAGCAGGTAACTCTCAAGCAGTGTCAGGTACTCACTTCTTCGTGGTTGCGCAGGGCGAGTTCTGCGTTCTGAAAGACAACAACCCGCACTGCTACATTGGGTCTGGAGCCGAAGCAAGCAGCATCCTGGGGCCCCCCCCTCTGTTAAGCCAGCCTCGACAAGTGCCAGGTCGGGGAAGTCCTTCGGTGAGAGTGTCCTCCTGCTCTTCGGGGAGCGCAGCGCAACGGTGTTTGCCCCAGCTTTAGGCGAAGTGTTAAGCAGCTCGGCAGTGTCAAAGTCAAGGTTTGCGCCAGAGGCTGTGCGGAGCCGAGTTTCTAGATGCGGACAAGGGTTGCGTAGCTGTCGTCCTTCGCCACCTCACGCCCACACTGTATCGAGAAGTCAGGCAGGCGTGCTCGTACCTTCGTTCTTTGAAGCAGTAGCACAGGGATGCCTTTTGTTTTTCTTTCTCTAGCGCACATCGGTCTCAGGCGTCATGGCCTCTGTAAGGCATCATGAGTCTGATCCCGCTGCCGCTCCTGTGTGACCTCCCGCAACGCCTCAATCGTGACAATCACTTCGTGTCCGATTTGGAGTATCGTTTCGCAAGAGCAACATCTGATGGCCTGTGGCCAAGCACCGTTTCGTTCATACTTGATCACTTCGATCTCAGCAGGCGCAAGGCACTGCCAGTTCCCTCGCAGATTCGGGCAGAACACCAATCAGCAACCCTGAAACTACTGGGAAAGTGGTGTCGTCAGCAGATCGAACGAGAATTTCTCTCCATTTTTCATCGTGACGCAGGTTTAGTAACAGACAAACTGACTACATCTGGGTTCGAGGTGTTTTAATCCTTTCTGTGTTTTCCGGTGGTGGTTTCAGCCGTTTCAGTGGCCTTGCGATGTGTGCAAGGCTTGTTTTTGGCTGTTGCTGTTTCGGCGTGTGATGAACCTGTCTTCGTCTGCAGAACATGAGAATGATGAAAGCCACGAGAGTGAGAGTCGTGGCAAAATGTTGCACGTAGGTAAGCAGAAGTCGCATGTAGGCCTCAGGTGTGAGGGTTTGATTTTGAGGCGCTCGTGCCTACGGGATGGAGGGCATGCAAGATGGAAGCTCAGCTCAGCTCGCGTGTGGAAGACAGAAGGCGCAGCGGTTGCAGTAAAGAGCCTGAGAGGTCCGCGAGATTCTCAGCAGACAATATGAGCAGATGAGACGCTCGGTTGTCGAAGCGACGGATGAGGTGCAGTTGGCATCATCGCATTGGTCTCCTGTGCATTGTTGTGTATTGTAAAGATTGTTGTTGTTCTTCCCCCAGGTGCTCAAATCAAAGAGCTGTGAAATCCTGCAGGGAGCTTTATTCTGGGAGGTCATGCCAGTGACATTCCGAGATACCGTGCCTCAGGTCTGGCTTGAACGGCTACGAACTCCAGAGTCTCTACGACCAGGCATTGGGTTTCCGTTTTGTTGTTTTGAAGGGTTCCTGATCGTACACAGGTTCTTGGGGACTTCGGTTGCGCATCATTGTTTCCCTTTTGTTTTTGCAAATGTTGGCCACGCGAGCTCCTCGCGATCCCAGCCCAGCCAAGCCGAGCCTTCGAACGGGTGTGATAAAACCACTCTTGTTCTCCCTGCGCACGCAAAAAACGGATTGGAGTGTAGCATCCCAACAGCACAAATGCTCCCCATGCAAATGCAAACTTGACATTCGCTGCAAGAAGCGCTGCCGTCGACTTCCGTGCCCAGGTTGAGATGCGGAGCTTCGATGAAGGGGATGTCATCCTGGGCGAAGGAGAATTCTTGAAGGAGGCGGGGTACTTGACTGCAGATTATAAGGCTAGATAAGGCTCCACTTTCCGGTTAGCGCCCCTCGAGTCTGGAGTATTACGTGGCACGTCTGGCACCTCGGCATCAGGTACTCATCTTGTACAGTGGCCAGGTGGAGTCATGGTTAGTGACCAAGTCTGTTCAGCAGAAGCACTGTCTGTCTAGATGAGTCCAGATGAGTCTGGATGCACCCCAGCAGGTCGGGAGGGAAGGACGTGGAGATGCTCCCCAGGCAGGCTGTCCTTTCACATTCTTTGGGCTTCGCGCCGTGTGCCTTTGCTGCGTGGCCCATTACCCAGCAGGTTCCACCTGATGGGAGATAACGCCTTCCCATTTGAGGACTCTTTGTGTTTTTGATGCTTGCAGATTGTTTGCGTGAAGACGAGCGCAGGAAGACCTTCCCTTTGAGCAGCCTGTGCGCCTGAGGGCGGCGAGTGCAGTTGTGCCGAGATCTTGGGGCATCAGTTCCGTCAAACACAGCCCATCGGAGCATTGACTCTCAACTCAGGGTGCTGGTGCTGAAGCGAAGCCTTCTAGACAACATCTTCGGCGACCAGCTGCAGCAGGTTCGCTGAGTCTATCAAGTTTGGAAAGCCTGGTAGCATCACCCCTGCAAATGCAAAGCAAGCTCAGAAGACAGGCGGTCTGCCATCGGGCTGCATCCTGTGCAGGTTCTGATCAAGCAAAGAGTGCTCCACGTGTTTGCGCAGCACCAGGCTGGGTTTGGACTTCTACTAGGACACGAGGATCCACCCGCCTACTCACGTGACAAGGATTTTTCTCGGCTTCATCAAGAGCATCGAGAAGCGATTGCCACTGCATGTCAAGTTCACTGTCTCCCCAAAGGCCAGTTTGTTTTCTGTCAGCTTCTCCATTCTGCAGCTGCGGCTGAGAATATACGTACACATGCACATATGTATACACATATATATATATGTATACATATGTGTATATATATATATAATGTATCCAAAAATAGGGATACCCCTTATCCGAACGTGCCTGCAGGCTCAGAGCGCAGCTGCGAGGACAATCAAGTTGGTTTTAGACTGTGCTGATGGAGCGAGGGGCATGTTGCCCCAGAATCAGGGCGGAAGTGCCAAGTGAACTTCCAAGTTGACGGTGTCCTAGAAGCAATGCGGCCTGGAGCAGTAAGTGCCAGATCCAAATCGAAGCCTTGGAACCTCCCTCTTCCCTGAAACCCGAGGGTGGGAGGGGACGGCGCACCTGCGCTTGATTATGAGTTCTTCTGATGTGCTGGTTGATCTTGAATGCTCTCGTCGAGGAAATCATCATGACAGGCGCCGGTTTGTCTTTCGCACGCAAGCTTTTCCAGGTTAATTAAGATTTTCGGATGGTAGAGTCTTATGCTGAGGATATGCTGGCTATATGCTTTGCTGATGGCACTTGTGTGTGTATGTCGGTGGTATACGTCTCCACAGCAAAGATTTGGGTTCGTGCTGTTTATGGTATCTTTGGGCAATGGCACTGCGACAGTACCACCGCTCAATGGGCTCGCACCTTTCTGATGGAATCGATATCAAGAGCCTCTAGAGGAACATGCTGGCCGTGTTGCTTAGCTGGACTACCGAAGCCCGCCACACCTGGGCCGTTACCCCTGCAATCAGAGTGCGTACGCGCAGCCAGAGCGACAGCCATGCCGAGTCCTGAAGTTGCAGGATTTGCGGGTGATTGTCGCCTTAAATGGTGAAGTCGAGCTGCCTGACCCTCAGGAGGGTTGTTGCGGGCCCGCAGTTGCGCTGCCCTAGCTGAGGAAGCTGGAAGCTGGCTCGGAGCGCCTACTCGGTGCTTCGTGAGGTGCTCAGAGGTGATTTGCTGAGAGCTGCCTTTCTTTCCCCGTCAAGCCTGTTTGTCATTCGCCAAAGGTCCCATCTGTTTGGCACCCCGTACAAACATCAGTGAGGGGCTCATTTGCTCGGATGCACAGCTGATGTGTGCACAGCTGTTCATGGGGTCAGGCAAGTGCCACTAAAGATGAAAGCTCTTGCAGACTCAAAGTTGGCAGTCTGGCAAAGAGAGGACGGACTGCTGTGCCCAGCTGTGGCAGTAAGAGGCTCAGCAACGTCTTGCTTTCGCGAGGATTTGGGGAGCATTCTGGCGTTTGATGACTTTGACGGTGCACTGGAGCAGGATAGCAAGGCCTGTGTCCTTGCACATGTGTTTCGAGGAACAAAAGTTAGCAAAACATTCTGCAGGTGCGAAGCCTTCGCTCGGTTTTCATCTTCGCGACGCTTTCCAAGCAGCAGCTGCAGCGCGCTGACCTTGGCTGCCCCAATTCTGAACCTTCACTTAGGTCAATTGCCTTTCTCTCCATTGCTCCTCTGCGTTCTGCTTCTAACCAAGGATTAGCGAACGCTCTCGTCGTTCAGATCGTGAAGAGTGGAACTCGAGCTTGGCACCCGGCGTCGTCTTGGCGCATTTTTTTGGAGCAAAGTTGCGTGATGACCCGTGATGGCCGTTACAGCAGGTGTTCTCGCAGGGCGACCAGGGAACGTGAGCTCCACAGTTTGGTAAGGTTCAAGATTAGACACCAGCAGCTTGTGAAGCTGGAGGTGCTTCTACATCATTCGCAGAGGCGCTGTCAGTGTCGAGATTGACGGCCGCGTGAAGCGTCGGTTTGGTGCTCAGTGCTCAGCACAGCTATCCGGATGAGCTCCTCCCTTGTTCTTCGTTGTTCAGGCTTGGCGACCCGGACTACTTCGGTGAGCGTGCTCTGCTGGGGAGCGAAATCCGCACTGCTACCATCACGGCGTTGGAGGCAATGTTACTGGCAGGTTAGCGGTTAGCGTGCGAATGCAGCAATCGTCACAAAATCGTTTCTTTCTTCTCCTCTTCGGATGCCGGAGCCTGCGCGATGGGGTATCAGGACACGGAGCTGTGGAAGATGGGCAAGGAAACCTTTCAGGAAATGATGTCTGGCTGCCTAGGTCGCGAGCGGTCGCGTGGTGATTCATGGTGGCGGTGTGCAGCATCTGAGGCAGGGTCCATGCTTGGACTACCTGAAGGATCGGATCTCCCTGCAGGACGTCTTTGATGCACTTGAGCGACGGCTTTGAATGAACGAACGAACACTTTTGAGCGCAAATGCTTTCGATGTGGGGACAGTACCAGCAACGGGAGAAGAGATACAGACCTCTGTCAAGATTCAAAGGCATTAGCGATGCTGATGGCGATTGGAGAGTGCGGCAAGCGCCTCCTTACACCAGGACACAAACCTGACGTTCAAGGACCTCGAGTCACGGCCTCAAGAAAAACGGAGTTGGCTGGGGAATCATGTGCCTGGGCCTCTCAGCTGTGCACTGCCGTCGAAAAGTGCAAGATGGGTTTCTCACTTACTGGCTTTCGCTTAGAGCAAGCTTCTCCTGAGAAAGGGAGCCGTGCAAACCTCGCTCGCTGCATAGACGCTTCGGCTTTGTACCCGAACTCCTCCATCCGTAATGAGCACTGCCACAACAGTTCAGAGACCTACGCAGTTGTTCTTCGTGGGATGTGCTTGACTGTTAGATGCTCCTGCCGCGGTGTGACGTGTTGGATAGTTCTGGGTGCAAAAGGCCCCCCCCCAGTTGAGAGCTCTCTGCGAGTGCACCGAGGTTTGTGCGAGTCATTGGTCGGGGCGGCTTTGGTGTGGTCAAGATGGTGAGAGCCAAGAAGACAGGAGTCAGGCCCCGCGCTGCTTGTGTATTGCTGGTGTATCATCGTTTGTTGGAACGGCTGCTGGAGCTCTTTCACGAAAGGTATGCTTTGAAGTGCGTCCGTAAACGCGATGTGGTCGAGAAGAACGTGCAAGATGCCCTTGTTTCAGAACTCAGCATTCTCAAAGAGGCTCGGGCAGTTGAGGGACACGGTCGGCTTTTAAGTTCATCGTTGCAGCAATGGTTGTTGCAGCTGACGCGAGAGGTTGATCATCCGTTCATCATAAAGTTCGTCCGATCATTCCGGAACGAGCACGCGTCTCAGAGCTTGATGGTGCGCCCAGTCGTATCGTGCAAGCGTGCGAGCAGCTTAACGGCTACTCCCAAGGACGCGTGTTTACTTTTTGATGGAGCTGGTTAGCGGCGGCGAGCTGCTGGATGCATTGGACGCTTTGGGCCTGCTGAAGTACTCTCAGGTCCTTCGCCTTTGTCCACTTTGTCTGTGTGTGTACGTGTTCTCGTCAATTATTTCGTATGTTTAATGGTGTCTGTATGAAAGGTTTATCCCTGAACGTTTGCCCAAGCATATTTGCTCGGCTGATAGTCCGTGGTTTTGAGACGAACTCGCGGAACTAGAGAACTTGTGAAAGGATCGCAATTAGTTTAAAGGAAGATTTCCCGTGCCTGAACGAACTCAGTGACACCAACCACCCCGATTCTTATACCAAGAGGACCCGTGCACACCCCGTACGAAATGCGGAGACTATTCTAGACTACGACAACTGAAGTGGAGGCGTTGTTTTACACCGGGTGCATCGTGCTGGCGCTTGAGTTTCTGCATTCGCGGCGCTGACTTCTCAGTATGCAATTTGGAATGGATCCTTGGTGCGCTCGGGCTGCCACATCACTGCAGGCATAGCCTACCTTGATCTGAAGAGTGAGAACTGCTTGATTGACCAGCAGGCTGAGAAGGGCGCCCCCACATGTTGTGGGGCACGCCTGTCAGTTCTTCATTTTGCCATGCAAGGGCTACTTGAAGATGATCGACTTTGGTATTGCAAGACGGATCACCAACGCGAGGTATGGTCCTCTCAAGGCTCTCGATCTCTGATTCAGTGTGCATAGTGTACACAATCTGAACATTCGTGTGTGAAGAAGCACATTCGTAGAGTGTCAGGTCAGCAAGTAGCAGGAGTGGGGGGAGGTAATCGCGAAAGCTCGCGTAGTGAGGCTTTCGGGCTTTCGTCTCTATCTGCGTTGCAGTGGGGGGTTGACGCTGTCCAGAACCTCAAAAGAACTGATTCATCGAACAACCCCTCCTCGCCCTCTTCCCAGAAAGAAAATGAGTGGATTGGTCAAGCAAATTGAAGAACACTACACGACCGACGAGAAGCATGTCGAAACGGAAGCGTGCAGGATAATCGGATCCGCGTTGCGTAATCTCTTGGTGTTCTCAACTTGGCAGGGAACCCCGGTGTTCATGGCTCCGGAGATGATCCTTGGGAAGGCAAGCTCCATTTTCCTGCATGTGTCATCAGGACTGATGAGAACACGTGCTTTTGAAGTGGCATCTGCTTCGCACAGGGCCAGACGACTGTTGCAGATCTTTGGAGTTTGGGAATATGCTTGTACGAGTTCGTTGGCGGCTCAGGACAATGAGCTGGGTCTTTGGATTCTGCACATTCCTGCACTGCCTTGGTGTGAGGTCATTGGGCACTTCCCTTTCGCCAGCAACTGCTCGAATCATGGCCAGACGCGCTCTCAGCCGGCCCTTGCGCATGGCGTTTGCCGATGCTCTGATGAGGGCAGGAAAGACAAGCCAACATCTTTGGAAAAGCCGTCGAAGATCAGAGGAACCCAGAGAACAACTACAGAGAATCAGAGCGAGCTGGAAGTAGTCCGTCAAGCGGGATGCCAAGAAGAAGCGTCCATGTGATGTGAGAGGAAGCCTTTCCGAAACTCAGCACTGGATTTTTTCAGGCTTTAGACCAACAGCCACCCCGAAAGCACGTGGATCTACATGGATGACCATAGTGCCATAGAAGTCGTACGATATCACCAAGCAGATGGAAGGAAATAGAGGCAAACATCTGAGATGATCAGAGTAAAAAATAGAGTCGTCAAAGCGACATCTCGACACCTGTTTGCAAGCACACAGTCCCCCAGAGAATTTTCTTATCAACCTCACAGGCTATTTTCTAGGCAACAAAGAGAGGAAAGCAGTGTTGAAATCGTGGAACATCTCGTTTCTTAATTCATTGGTAAAAAGGCACCACGGGGAAAGCGAAAGAAGCCGTTTGCATCATGCTGGACCTCAGAGCAGTTGACAAGCATGGATGTGCTAGTCGACCGAGACATCAGATTACCCCGGTAGATCCGGGTTTTGCTCACAAGTGTGAGCCTTTGGTTGTTCAGCAGGGCGCACAGTACAGCGAGACAGAGAGACAAGGCAGAACTCAATGCCCAGCTGTGTTATGATTTAGTCGTTGCTCAGGATTTTTCACCAAATCCTCCGAGCAGAGCTGCGATTTCCAGAATGGCGCCTTGGCATATAACTCCTATATCGTGACACAAGGCATGCAGCGAGTGCCGCGAGGTTTGACAAGCAACCAATGGCAGAGGAAATCGTGAGCCATGGACCTAGTAAAAGCGTGATATGAGCGTGCTTCCCGATTCCTGCAGATTGTGCACGTAGCTTCGCAATTCAGGTTTTCCGAGAAACTCTTCATGCTTTACCTCCGCTGATACAGTGATGATAACTGGTGCATCCCGAACGTGCTGTTGAGATGAAAAACCCTAGTGCGCCCGCCGCCCATAGCTTACTGTGGGGAAGAGGGTGGTGGTAAACTCTAAGTTTTAGTTCAGGCCTGTAGAAGCTAGTTACAGATGAAAGAAGGTTTCACTGTTTTGTTTCCTCTCTACGCTCTTTCCGCCGAGCCTTATGCTTGTTTTGTGGCACTTGTAGTGCATCCACCACGTACTTACTTGAGTGCGGGCGGGTGGAAGGCAGGGAGAGACAGGGCCAGGGGAGGGTGGTGGTCTGGGGGAGAGATAGGCTCCTCAGGGCGAGGTGTTGGGAGTGGAATTGAGGGAGCGTGCAGCCAGGTTGCACACGTGGAAGCTTGCACATATAGCCAGTTCCTTGCGATTCGACGGATATTTGCAATCACCTGTTGGTAAGCTGCTGCAGGGACCATGTTACCGGTAGGGATTTGGCGCATGTTAACTTGACAACGGCTCTCCTACGGAGCCGATCGAAGTACTTGCGCCTGGAGTGATGCAAGAAAAACCTAGGCAACCTGCCGCGTGTTGTTGTCCTGCGCTGCCGATGAAACCCTTCTTGCTACAAGAGTTACTAGTATCCTTGTAGTATGGCACCTAGAGCTGCTCCGCTCGGCGCATGGCTCCAAGTCAGGTTTGATCAAGGGTCTTCTGACCCGAGACCCAAAGAAACGTCTTGGTGGAGGTCATGAAGGCGTGCTTTACAGCGATCAGCTGGATGATGAGTCTGCAGAGTTTGCGCATGACTTGTGCAAGGTTACACCAAATTGAAAGCTCACCCTTTCTTCAAGGACCTCTGTTCTTATCTAAGAAATACATGTGGCCCCCGATGGCTCACGAGTGTTCTGCAGTCTGCAGCTGTTCTACTTAGGCTGGGAAAAGCTTCTGGGTCGAGAACACGAGCCTCCCTTTGTCCCAACGAGCGAAACATATGCTGAGGACTGCAGGCTCTAGGTTGTGCCGATTGTATCGTTAAGCTACGCAGTTGGCCTTCGCCGAGATGCTGGCTAGGACAAGGAGAAGTCCGTGGATTCGCCCTCAACAGGAGATAGCAGGCCCACTGTTGAGGAGGAGGAGGCTGGCTACAGTGCAGACCTGTGCAGCAGAGTCTCCAGTTGGCTTGTGACAGCTTGGACATGAAAAAGCAGGTATTGTTATAGCTTTCATCCCATGCTGTCGAATGCAGTCTTCACATTTCTTATCGAGATCATCTGTTGCTGGTGCCAATTTCATCAAATTCGCTGGATTAGCATGTTGGCATCCACGATTCCGAAGATGAATTTCGCCATGCAAGGACCTGGTGCATTCGGAAACCATCGAACTCCGGTAATTCCTGGGATCAGTCCAGGGACTCGGGCAACGGTCTTGTTTTCTTGTGAGAAAAGTCCCTGGGCTCATCCAGGCACGAGGCTGGGTAGTTGCACCGCTTGGCACATCGTCCACGTATGCCCAGTGTAGTCTTGGCTGAGCATTGCAGTTGGCTTGAACCTCCTTGCCCTCATCTTGTGCTTGCTTGCAAGAAGGCGCTCATTCATCGAACCAGGGATAGCTCTCAAGAAGCAGCTGCACTCCACCTCCCAGATGATTGTACCACTCGCTGGCTGGATAGCTTGATTTTGCTTTAGCGCCGATCAGCAATGAGCAGGACGAATCCCTGACTCTCTGAGTTGCTTCACTATGACACTCGGACACTAAAGCATACATGGCTTCATCATGCCTTAATTAGGTGCAGGATGCTGTGTTGCAGGAGAATCCGGGGTAAGTTTCATGATAAGGTGCTGGGGAAGGGTGGGGCGGGGGTGGGGGGGTGGGGAGGGCGGGGGGGGGGGGCTGGTGAAATCTGTTATCACTTCGTCATGTAGGCAAATGAGTCGCGCAGTAGCAAGTTTTCGTAGACGCATGTTCGAAGATGTGCTTTTTTGCGGTAGAAATATATCGGTGCTATGCTAATGTGTTTTTATCGATCCAAGATCACGCATGATTTGATGGGACTCTTGCTTGTTAAAAGGATCGCTTACGAGCCTACAGCCTAATTGTTTTTCTTGGCGGCTTGGCAGGCACGCTGCGCTGAATCGGAGAACCCTTGGGAGGTCGGGTCTGCAGCGGCGTTCGTTGCTACTAGCTTGGATGGACTTGAATACGGTTGGCAAAGGAGTTACGGGGAGCTTTCGGTGGTTAAGCGCGGCACAGAATGCGGACTGCTCGGAGCAGTCGAAGCTGCTTGTGCGCAGGATCCAGCACCTGGCTGGGATGCGGATTTCTGCTGGGATGCAGACTTCTGATGGGAGTTTTATGTGCTGCCCGCCGCCCGAGCAGTGCCATGCGTCTTCCACTTGCGGCAACTTGCAGATAGAGCTTCCTGATTCTTGCTGCTCGCATCACGGCGGCGTCTCTGACCTTAGCGAAAAACCGCAATTCCAAGGGAGGCCGTTTGCCCGGATGTTGTCACTTCTAGAGTAGGACGTTTCACCCCGAGGATGTCCTCGCAAAACTCGGCCAAAAGTTGTTGCCTGTCCTGAGCCGTGGGTCCTGCAATCCGGAGTCGCCCGAATCCCGGACAAGATTCTCTGGCACATCGTGCTCCTGAGTCGTGGATGCAATGAATTCCCGAGGGACGACGGTTCTCTGACATGTCTGTTTTTCTTTGTCCGAAAACATCTCTCAGCTTTTGAGCTTCGGAGGTCGTTTCTGAATGTGTGCTCGTGACCACTGGCAGCTCTAGGCATACTTCTTTCCAGACCCATTGAGACTCGGTCGGCCATTGCACAGGCACTATCGCGTGCTTGTGCCACAGCTTCGTGTAGCAGCAACTGCACGATGCCAAAATGCTGCCTGCCGGCTCACAGGATGCGCTTCATGTTCATGATGCGACATGGAAGTTTAGGCACCTGCGCAGTTATGCGACCTTGATAGCATTGATAGCCATCTGCAAAACCTGGTAGGTTTTTCTTAGAGTATCTGCATAGTTCTTTCGGGGCGACAGACCGGACACGCATCAATCGTTTCGGCTGGTGGTCTTTGCCAATGCTGACCTTGTAAAGCTCGGGCCACGTTGGAGATCTTTTTGCAGCCGCTCAGCAAGACAGTCAGTCTGTGTTTCCGAAGAGCGGCGTCGTGTTTCTAAGCAGTGCTCCTGTTGGCTACAATTGCCTGGTGTCTTTTGTGCGAGAAGTGTGCGCCAGTAAGATTGTCAATCTGTTTTGCGCGTACCAGTATATGGCGACATAACCCTGCCCTGTCCTAAAACCCAAATTCTGGAAAATCGCTAGCGCATTCCCGCCTCGGCTGGGTCCTGGGTACTGGGTCCTGGGTACTGAGTGCTGGGACCTTGGTACTGAACCCGGTGTACACTGGGTGCTGGGTACTTTAGTACTGGGCGCTGGTAATGGGTACCGGGTACTGGGTAGTGGTACTCCGCCTCCGCTAGGCCAGAGGTTTATTGAGCCTCTTTCGGTTTAGGTGACATTTTTCCGGCAGCGTTGTCTACCCAATTTTTTGGTTTTTTGTCGAGTTTTTTTGTGGGAGTTCTGAGACAATTTTGATAATTTTGTTTCGTGGATGTGCTGTCTTGCAGCTGGGTACTGGTTATTGATACTGGGGGCGAGGGGGAGGAAGGGCAGTAGACTGAGATGACAGAGACACTCGAGGCAACAACAGAAACACACGAAAAACGGACACGGGGTCGGGAAGTGGGCCTGTGGGAGGGGGTAGGGGTGGGTGAAAAGTTTACTTGACTGACTACCCTCCGCAAGACACCGTACCACCTCCCGCCTCGGCGGATGACTCGCGCCAGCCAATCACTTTTTACCCACTCTCTGTCGGTCGAGGCTGTATTGTTTGCATCGTTGCCTGCATTTCCTGCAGCAGACTCGCAGGTCGGGAAAAGTGCAGACCGAATGCCGGAGTCTCAGCGTCATCTGATCGGCTCGCGAATGCGAGCAACAAGCGCAGCAAGTGGGAGCGTGACGCCAGGTTCGCTAGCATCGGGGGGCTTACACAGCATCAGGTGGTTTCGCAAGATGTGGTCGTGCTTCGATGGCTTCGGCAGGAAGCCGAGGTGGCCAATCATGCCTCTGCCCGTGTTTGTGCTTCGGAGATAGGGCTTTTTCGGCCAGGCCTTGACATATGTGTTTACAACTTCAGGCCCCATGCGCTCCTCTTGTAATTTGAAAGACGGCTCCTGCGGCTCCCCAGGCACAAATCTGCAAAAACCCTTTGCAACCCTTTACGCCATGGCAGAAACCAGAGGTTGCAAGCCGCACTTGGCAGTGCAAGTTTAGATGCATCAGGCGAACCACGTTGAATTTGACCTGGGTTCCTAGCTGCACCGCCTATGGTCGGGGTTTGTTCAGCTCAAAAAGGCGATGAGCAGGAGGCGTGCTGCACTATGAGCAGGGAAATCCGTGAATGAAAAGAGCTTCAGGCAATTGCCACAGAACCACTACTTCGCGGGTTGCCGAAATCATGGCAATGATCATGCCTGAGTTGCTTGACATTGCTTGAGCGGGTCACCTGCAAGCATGCACACAGACAGCGCGATGTTTCCCTGTGCGTTAACTGCTTACACATTTTTTATGAGGGCTCTTATCTGCTGAATCTCTCAGAAGAACTCTTCGGGTTTGGCTGCAAGTGTCGCAACACGAAGCATGACTTGGACACGCAGCGGTCTTGTCCGCCAGGTCGACCAGAGCGAAGAATTTGTCCGGTCCCAGTGCAAAGGACTGAAACCAGACTCAAGCGCGATTGAAGTGCGGCAACAGCTTGGTTGAACCCAGTGGAATTCGTGCTTTGCTGCAGTAAGCTTCCGATGTCAGGACGGGATTTGGCGAGAACACCTCGATCAAATGATCAATGAGGCCTCCAGAGGAATTGTTTCCCACGATTTAGTGTAAGCCCGTCTGGCACTGTAAGGCATGCTCACAGAAACAAAGCGTGTTGTGGCTTCCGCCCCCTTTCTAAAATGATTGCTTTGTTCAACTTTGTTCGTTTGCCGTTTGCCAGTACATGGACAAAGTTTTGTAGATTCAGACTGTGAAATACAAAGGGTAAGCAGAGATGTTGGCCGTGTCGACTCCAGTGGCCAAACGAACAGCGACCTTCAGAGGCCTAGATGTAAAAAGGCACTCGACGACAGACTCGTAAGCTTGTGGTTGCAAACTTGCTAGGCTGCTAGGCAGGACTCGCTGATGAATTCCACGTCTTCATTCTATTCACATGACATCGACTGCTCCAAGTCATCAGCTGAATGTTTTGGCAGGGCTTGGCAGGGCAGATTGACAGGACAGAAGATGCCCAGAGCCCCCCCACTGCAATCAGGGCTGCCGGGCTGCTCCAATCGTTCAGGGATTGCAAAGAGCGTGGCAGACGTTGTTCTGCCATCTGTGATAAGGTGTACAGTGTTTCTGGGGCTTTAGGACATGCTGGACTGTTCAGCAGGGATAATCGTCCTGCGTGCCCGATCGCAGGTCATGCTGGGAGAAATCGGCAAACTGCAGGGCCAGCTCAACCAGCATTTGCGAGAGTACGAGGCTGGCCCTGTCTAGGGAGTACAGCTCGAAAAATATCCAAATCCGACAGGTTGCCTTGTCACAGCTCAATGTTGAACACGGACATGGGCATGCGCCAGAAGCTGAACTGTTCGAGCCTGCGCTTTAAATTTCACAGCGTGAGCTGGCCTGCACACAGATGCGCGCGGAACCTTTCATGGCAAAGCATCGCTCGCCATAAGAAACTCAAAAGCCAAGGCGGTCCCGCCAGGATGTAGAGCTTCTCCGCCAGCAGGTGACGGCTGCTGGCCCTGAAAAGTCACGAAACCTTCGACTTCCTCCTGTTGTTTCAGGTACTCCTAATGGGCAGAGAGCGGCGGAAGAAGAAGCTTGAAGTCGGCAAGCTGCGCAAGGCCGGGGGAGAGCAGGAGAACCTCACATAAAAACCCACGCCCAGTTGCTGAAGCCCCAGGCCATGAAGGAAGTGCGCAATGCACTCTCTACAGAGACAGCTCCAGCTGCACAGGTGCCAACACATCCCTACAACTGTTTTGCAGCGGAAGTCGCGTTGTCAAAGCTTCACACTGCCGTGTCAGGGCCACCTAGCCAAAGAGCAGTTGCTCGAAGAGGCCGCGAATGTATGTTGACTTCCCCATAGAAGAGCTGAAAAGGTCAACACGAGCCAGCCTGCACCAGGTGCGGACAGAGCGTGAACGAAGGTGTGCTGAAAAGTTTTACTTGGAGGACCTCCAGTGGCTCGAGATCCTTCAACTGTGCCCTGACGAGTTTATTTCGGGACAGGATCAAGTCAAGAAGCTGAAGTGCGAGATTGAGGACGTGATGCAGCATGGTAGTGAGTCTTCTTGGTCCATGACCCTCATTGACCAGTCCCTCAGTGAGAGGAGCTGGAACAGCAGCAAATTTCCACTCCAGCAGTGGACCATGAGAAAGAGAAGCTGAAGCAGTCTGCGGCGGACCGAGCTGCTGGTGCATGGTAACCTGGTAAACCTTTTGTCTGCGCCGGCGCTCGGAGAGCTTGCAAGGTAAGACAGCTCAAGATGTCCATCGAGTCAAAGGATCGGTATGCCTGCTGGGCGCAGTGCTCAGTGAGTCAAGATTCGTAGTTGTAAGCCCTTGCTTTGTTTAGACGATCTTGGGTTCGGGAGGTTTGCGTTCCCGATAGGTCTGCAATCGTGCTCATGAGCGACAAGAGGAGTCTGGGGAAGGTTCCGACACCGGAGAGGCGCGGTTTATTGGGGGGGGACACTGAAGCTCCGGCCCCATGCAGTCGTCCTGTGGGCAGGAGTCAGAGCGCCACGACGAGTGCGCGATGATGCGAAGGCTCATTTGTGGCAACCAGGGAGTTGTAGCATCACACCTGCGCGGAGACGCATGCCTGTTTCTCGCACTGCCGTGGCTGCTTTGTGTTGCTTCTGGTTTCTTACTCTCTTGACTCTCTGCCTCTGTTTTATATGTCTGCGCCCTAGCAGCCAAGGCGTTTGGTCGAAATGGAGGAGGAAATTCGCGAGCTCACAGGTGATTTGTGCATGTTTTGACGTTCCATGGTCGTGCCGACTTGTGCCTGGAAAGCATGGAGAACTAAGCAAGTGCAGCTATGCGACAGCATGCAGCCTCGCGCGAGGCCTCGCAGGCGTTGACCCCGCCTCGACGGCCCAAGTCACAGCCTGAGGGCCATTCGAGATGCAAGCCTTGCCATGTGTGAGCGGTTCCAGGGAGCTGTTTCCTGGTACATCAGGCAAGCCAGAGCAGGTCGGCCTCCAAGTCTAAGCCGATTTAAGCCGCTTATTCAATGAGTTGAGTTGAGTGGGCGAGGAGTGCAGTGAGTGAAGGGAGTGAGCGCCATCGGTGGGGAGTGAGGTGAGTGAGGTGAGTGAGGTGAGTGGGGTGAGTGGGGTGAGTGAGGTGAGTGAGGTGAGTGAGGTGAGTGAGGTGAGTGAGGTGAGTGAGGTGAGTGAGGTGAGTGAGGTGAGTGAGGTGAGTGAGGTGAGTGAGGTGAGTGAGGTGAGTGAGGTGAGTGAGGTGAGTGTGAGTGAGTCGGATGAAGAGAAGGCTCAAAGAGATATGAGGTTGGGCGTCAGGGTGTCCCTGGACCCGCCAACGATAAACGAGTCGCCTATGAGCTGGTGGCTCAGTTCGCAGTTCAGTTTGCGTCAACGCTGCAAAGCTCCTTAACCAAGGTCCTTCTTCGTCGAATACGCGATCGTCGCGGGGGCGAGTGCCCCTTGACCTGACTTTGTAGGTTTCTTCGCAGTCTTGGTAGATGTCCGACAAGATCGCCCCCTGAACCCATCAAACTCCCACGAACGGCAGATCATGCCGACGTGAGCAGATGTTGGCGGCTACCAAACTGGCAGAAAGAGTGGTGAGGGCGAAAGAATGGCCCAGTTTCGGGGGCACATGTTTAAAAAAGGAACTCTGCCAAACTTCTACTGACAGCTGCTTGCGATCGAGGCCCACTCCCTGGCTGGAGGCGGAGGCGGACTCATGTCTACATACTAATTCTTGTCGATTGATGCTTCTGCTGATCCGCAGGCGGCAGGCGCACAGGCCAGTCCTTCCAGTGCTTGAGCACGCTGGCTTTTTCCAAGATTGCATTCAAGATTGTACAACTGGTGAGTTGAGGCTTCGGTGCAATTTTCTGACTCCGTCACAGCCTTCATGTCAATGGAAGTCCCGGAGAACGTCCCGGAGGCGAATAAGTGGGGACCCATTTTTTGTTGCTTTTTTTCTCGGGCCTTTCTGATGTTTCGTGCCCGCACCTTGGGACAGAAGCCATGGAAGCGTCGAAGGGCCGTCGCCGCAGGTCGGTGACCGCTCGGTGCGGGACCGGATTGCGACCCCGTACGTTCCAGCGAGTGCAGCCGCCTCGGAGGTCCGACCCCACCTTGGGCAACCTTTAGGATGGGGTTTAGGGCTTAGGCTTTAGGCTTTCGGCTTTCGGCTTTCGGCTTTAGGCTTTAGGCTTTAGGCTTTAGGGTTCAGGGTTTAGGGCCTAGGGTTTAGGATGAAAGTTTCCATGCATTGGAAGTCAATGTGCGAACTCCCCTCCCCCCTTTCCGGGAGAATGTGGACTGCCCCCTTTGATCGAAGCGCTTAGTTTCCAGGTTCAGTGCCGTGAGTCTGTACTGTCGTGACTGTAGTGCATAGAGTATAGAATAGCCAAACATGGAAGGATGTAGCAACGCTTTAAAATGCAAGGGGCTAGGGTCGTTCATTTGTAGGTATTTGTGGTTTCGTCCCAGCAAAACCAGCGAACCTTCGACCAACGGGCCTTATTCAGGACAGGAAACGTGTGTGAACGAACAAAGTGAGCGAAGAGTGAAATGGCAACACGCCCCCGTAATTTACCTAGTTCAAAGGAGCGCTTTCGCACTAGAGCATGGAGGACTTTTCCAGTCGAAATCTTTTTTCTTGAGGGAAAGTACAGGTGCTCACGCGTGCATTGATTTATTTCACGCGTCTGTCACTCATTCGCTTCACGTCTTTACAAGGCTCTGGTGAACTACCCCTTCCCCCCCTCAGCAGTAATATGTCTTCCATCTCCTACTCCGCTTCTTGTTCTTAATCTTCTCTTGTTTTGTTTAACGTTTTGTATATTTTGAGATTTTAGGAAAATATGGTCAGGTTCTCCTTAAGATGTGCTGAACATGCACCGTGAAAGCCTCAGCAAAAGCTGCTCTTTCACTCGAAACTGCAGGGCTCCATCTTTGTTGGAGGGAGTTTGGAGGGCCTTCACCCAGAGCTTTAGACTCGTGTTAGCTTGCTCTGTCTGCTGAAGAGCCGCAGAAATACTGGACACCAAACTGCACTTTCCTGGCCTTAGGAGGGCTTTCGTTTCCCTCAATGTCGGAAACCTCTTCTTCAGGTCCACTCCCTCGAAGCCTAAGCCCAAAACAAAACAGTGAGAATCCCACTGTAAAGTGGACCTTCTAACAGTGGTGCATTTCCGAAATCGCTTGCTGTATTCCGGACCTCCTCATGAAAGCAGTTCTTACATCTCAGGATCAACGAAGCGTAAAGAATTCACACTAACACTAGGTGGGGATGTGGGGGGAGGGAAAGAGAAGCCGGAAAGACGTGCGAGTGCTTGAGGCCACTAGAATTCTATTTGCCAACAGCTCCATGCGTTCTCGACAGGACCGGAGGGTACTGCTGGCACCGGTTCTGTCCGCAGTTGAGGAGAGCTCCTGACTCGTACATGCCAGATGCAAGACTCCAGTTTGTCGGAGTTTTGGGCAGGAATTTGAAGCGGAAGGTGGCAGAGAGCAGCTACGCTCCAGCAGAGACAGGACAGACTGGAAGCCATCAGATGGCATGTCGTTCAGTAGGGTTTAGGAAATGGCTACGCTCAAGATTTGGCTCACACAAAGTGCGACGGTGCCACTCCCAGCCGGTTTCTGAAACCCTGCGGAGATGTCTGACTTCAAGTTGGCGGTCGACGAGAACAACAAGCCACAGAGCTGCCACTGCTCCGGGTCTGCGGAATGGTGCAGCAGAATCCGCACATGCGTGTTTTCTGGAATTTCTGGGCATCGACAATCTCCTTCTTCCTTGCCTTTCTTGGCTGGTTCGCCTTGGCGCGAGCCTCGAGGTGGCGACCAGCAAGAACATGTGCGAGAACCAGCTGTATCCCCCTGCCACCAGCCCGACGAGGAAGGCGTACCTGAAGTTCACGAACCTGAAGACCGGGCTCACGTACTGCAGGAGAAGGACGGGGATGGCAACCCCACGGACTGCGTGAGCCCGACCGTGGCGGAGCTGGCAACAGGAGTGACAAAGTACAGGCCAGAGGTGCTGGTGAAGTGCGTCTGCCCACGATCTTCGTGCGGATCGCCCTAGGCACGCTGCGGGAGCGCTTTGGCCCGGTGAACGTTCAGTCGGGGCTGCTGACGTTCGGGGCCATCTGGGTTGTTGCAGCTGCTGGCATCAGCGCGCCGTGGAACTACGCGCTGATCCGCTTCTTCATCGGCTGCGCCGGGGCGACGTTCGTCACGAACCAGTTCTGGTGCTCCCTGATGTTCGCTCCGAACATCTCCGAACGTCATTGGCACGGCGAACGCCACAGCTGCTGCCTGGGGCAACCTCGGGGGTGGTGTGACTCAAATCTTCATGATGTCAGTCCTTTTCAACCCAATGGTCGAGTCTGGTATCGTCCCGGATACGGCCTGGCGGGTTGCCGTGATCGTGCCGGCAGTGATGTTCCTGATCTGTGCAGCATGCATCAAGCTGCTGTGCTGACACCCCTTTGGCCAAGCGCTTCGACGTGTCCGTCACCGGAAAGACCCAGAAGCCGTCTATGATGCACTACTTGGTCGTTCTCAAGGACTTTCGTGTAGTGGTCATGATCTTTCAGTACTCGGCCTGCTTTGGGGCAGAACTCGCCATGAACAACCAGCTGGCGACGCATTTCCGAACGTATTTCCAGATGGCAGCGGCTGACGCTTCGGCCTGGGCGGGCTTCTTCGGTCTGATGAACTTGTTGGCCCGCTCCCTCGGCGGAATCACCAGCGACCTGCTCTTCAAGAACTTCGGCTTCCGTGGCCGCATCTGGGCGCAGTTCCTGTCCCTCTTCTTCGGGGCTATCTTCCTGTTTTGCTTCGGACTAGTGGACAACTCCCAGCCATGGTATGTGGCGCTCGCAGTGCTGCTGTGCTTCAGCCTGTTTGTGCCGATGGCCGAAGGGACGAGCTATGGCATCGTGCCGTTTTTGAACAGGCAGCAGCTGGCCATTGTTTCCGCCCTGGTCGGTGCCGGCGGCAACTTGGGTGCAGTGATCGCAGGATTCGGATTCTACCGCCCGATCGAGGACCCGCTCTTGCCGTTGCAGGTGCACGCGGGCTACGTGATGTTCTGGGCTCTGCTGAGCCCGTGCTTCTACTGGGCAATGCACGGCGGCATGTTTCATGGACCAGCTGTGAAATCCGTCGAAGGCGAGTCTCCAGCTGTGTAATGCACGCAGTGTGATCCAATTCATGAATTATTCAGTGCCGTGGGGCTGGACGAAGTCTGCTCCCTTGTAGAGTCGAAGATTGCACGTTCAAGCGAAGTTTGAGACGTGCATTGGCATCCCAGCATGGAGTGCAGGACAGGGGCCTTCCTTATAAAGACGGGCGGAGCACGCATGTGCCAAACCCGCATCTACTCTATACGGCCGTTGATCAGTCTGGCCGAAAGACAAAGGGTTTATATATATATATATATAATACAACGAAAGGCTATATCTATCTATCTATCTATGTATATATTCCTGATGCAAAAAAGGGTTTAGGGCTGTTTAGGGCTTGGGGGTTACATGGGGTGGGTTTTGAGGATGCCGACGCCGCACGTCAGCTCGGAGATGATCGAGGAGAGAGTTCTCCAGTCTGAGGGTTTAGGGCTTAGGGCTTAGGGTTTAGGGTTTAGGGTTTAGGGGTGTTTTGTTCTGCACCTTTGTTTTGTTGCCACAGGAGACGTTTGCGCCTTCGGGAAAGACGGTCCGCATCTTCCCCGTTGCTGAGATGGAGGCCCATGGAGGGGGTTTCGAAAAAGACTTTGCTGAGCTACTGATACGTCGCCCAGCCTGTCCAGCATGTCGGCCGAAATGCGAAGCAGGCTATCCCTGCTTCCGGAAGACGGCGGCCAAGTCGAGAACGGCAAGCAACGCCCTTCGCCAAGGAGATGCTGGGGCAGCGTAAGCAGAAGCCAGTTTCAATTGCATTTGCCGTTGTGCCCAGCATAAATTGTTCCACGAATCAGCCTGATGACGCAGGTCAAGGCGTCAGGGCATCGCAGATGGTAAGAGGGCATGTTGCATGGAATGTTCATAAGACCAAAGTTATTGGAGGCCGGCAACAAAACCCTGAAAATCCGTGCCATGGATGTTTGGGTGGCAGAAGTGGCATTACAAGTGACATCCTCCCAGAGGACTCTCAGGAAGGAGAGCCTCAGGAAACGACTCGCAACTACCCCATGCACAGTCTCTTGTCGGATTTTCTTTGGGCATTCCTGCTCTTGTGGCCATTCGGTTTTCTCGCTGGCACATTGTGCTGAATGGGTTCCAGGACGAATCACACCTGTCTGCTTGTATCTCATTGTCTTCGAAAGGTTTACACGACGCATGACTTTGCGCCGCGTGCATGTGCATCTGCTGTCCTGCAGGGTTGTTGTGTCACTGAACTGAAGCTGTCAATGACCCCCTCCCGCTCCTGCTGCTCCATCGCTCCGATGCTGCGGCCTGCAGGAAGAGGATGTGCCGGCAGCAGAGGGAACCGCCCAGTCCAGCAGCACGGCATCGGGACAGGCAGGTGACCATAATGTGGAGTTGCCGAAGGCCCTAGCTGCCCTGGCTGCCCTAGCTGCCCTAGCTGAGACTCGCGATGATGGCAGACGTAGCTGCGGCGATGTGAGAGTCCAGAGAATTCATGTGGGTCCCAATTTCGGCCGTTCCATGTATCTGGTTATGTACCCACACGGGTCCGTATCCTTGACATGAACTCGTCGTCATAAGAAGAGTGATGGTAATAGGGGCAGGCAGCGGCAGCTTGAACCGGGCTGTGGTGATTTGTCGCCGGAGGTTGCGGCCTCGGTGCATTTCTCGGACTCTGTGGCCACGATCCGGTCGCTTGACCTTCCAGAGAGCGTACCAGAGGCAAAGGAGAAAAACTAGGGCCCTGCCCTTAAGGACATTTCATGCCTGCTGCCAGGTTGGCAAGAGATCTGTGCGTGATCGCATCGCTACACCGTATGCTGCTCCAGAGAACTTCAGCGAGGCTGGATTGATGGTATCGGCATTGAAAAAGCAGGGTTTGACCTGAGCGTTGCCAACTTCCTCTTGCAGGACCGCAGGGTGCAGCTTGCACCTGTTGCTTCTACAGTCGAGGAGCTGCACCGAGTTTTTCTTCCACATTGAGCAGACTTTAACAGCTGTTTGCGGCTTCTAGACGTTCCAAGAGTGCCAGGAGATCGAAGTGCACGGCAGAGAACACCTCCGATCAACCCGTGACAGGACAATGGCCGAGTGTTCAGCCGTATAATCTTTGGGTGACGAAAATTAAGAAGGCAGTAAGGCAGTGTCGTGCCAGTAGCTTGCACGCGTTTTGCTGGACAACAGCTTCTGCTAGCCCATTCCCTCCATCGTCATCCTCGCCACTAGCAAGGCCATTCGCAAGGAGCCACCTGCTAGTGTAGCTGCCGGACGCCGCTGCCGCTTCCCCTGACACTGCTGCCACCGGCACCACCGCCACTACCACTTCACTGCTGCTACCGCCCAGTACCACCACTGCGTCAAGGTCAACGCCCTAACTTCACAGCTGTCATCTCGCATGTACACCATCAACTTTCTGGCGTCCACTGTCGTCCACATCAACGTCACGATGGACATCACGCCGGCAAAAGCTCCTCTCAAACAAGAAAACTGTCTGTCCTCGAGCCCATGGAACGTCAGCTCTAAGTTGTCAGGACATATGCTGATGGATTTTTTTTAGTGGGGGGGGGGGGGATAGGAAAACCTCCATATTTTCTCTAAGAGGGAATAGAGGCTGTCCTAGGCAAAGCCAAGGACATTGACCAACAAAAACAAAACTGCGAGAAAACAAACTTTCGCAACAACTCCACTCTATGCTTATCTGTGTGGGGTTTGCTCGAAATGTCCAGGATGCCGACACCACACGTGAGTGCAGAGGTGATGGAGGACAGCAAGCAGGCTGTTCAGACACATTTAGCTCAGAGGGCGCCGTTCTCTTCTGGAGGAGACATTGTCCAGAGCCGAGGTTGAGGCAGGGCCGAAAACACGAGCCATCGATGTTGCTTGGCAAAGGGGCGTGGGTGCAAGGAGATTCCGATTCCAGCTACTGGCGCACGTCGGCCAAGTCGAGATCGGGTAGCAACTCCTTTCGTCAAGGACTTTTGAGACGAAAGTGGGGATAGAGGGTGAGCTCCATACCCAGCAGAAGAAGAAGAGGAAGAATAATAATGAGAACAAGCAGAAGAAGAAGAGAGCCCTGTGGCCAAGCCCGAGGCCCCGTAGAAAGAGGAGGGAGGGGGACCCTGAACGCAAAAAAGGAGGGTGAAGAGGCAAGAGTAGAGGCTGTTCTCAAGTCAAACTGCTGGGGAGGAGGAGATGCCACCAGAGATTCGTACCGTGCAGTTTAACGATGAAGTCAGTCCTCAGGCCGGTCTTCAAGTTACCGCACCTAGGAGCGCATCACCAGCCTGCGGCATGTGCAGTCGTGTGGCCGCTTCGGTTGTGTATGTGGGCCTGTGCTAAGTTATGTCAATGGAGCAGCACTGTACCACCCAGATATTCAGTGCACAACTTATGGATTTGGCGGCAACCGGACGTGCACTCTAAGAGGTTGTTTAGAACAGCAAAAACCTTCAGCACCATGCCAAAACCTCAACATGTTGCGGTCAGATTGCTGTTTGGCTAGCCTAAGCTCGTTCAGGGTCAGCAAGACATCATGTTCTTGTTGGGATAAAATGGTTCAACTGGGGTGTACAAGCTCATGGAAGTAGAATGTTAAAAGTTCGAAGGCTTTAAACCCCTATGGCTGTCAGCCTTTGTAAACGAATCGGTTGCTGTCACCTCTTGCCCGCTTCCTCCGCGGTCTTTCTCATGCTTTGAGAGGTAGGGCAGTCTAACTGAGAAGTCTGGAAGGCGCGCGATGAGTCAGAATACACGCAGGCCGCGACGACAGCATGCAGTGTTGCTGAAACTTGCGCTATGTGAGCACGTAGTGGAGGTGCAATATTTCGGTTTCTGCTGTGCAGGGTCTAGTTGGTAAAGGGGGCCAGCTCTTTGCACATGCTCGGAGGCCGTAATTGGCAGGCTTTGATTTCGGCGCTGTCTGATGCATTGCCAGGTCAGCGGGAGGTCAGTGCGAGATCGCATTGCCACGCCCTTCGCAGATCCCACGACCATGGATCTTGCAGAGGCATGGACGTTGGCCCAACTAGTTCATGCAGCAATCATCCGAACCAGGGAAGTTGCATGTGTGGCAGCAGCCTCAAAGTCAGTTGCTCAAGAAATCATCCGAACCACTGCACTGCAGCTCCATAGACACGTCTACCGAGCCGTACCGAGCCCCATCCTCCAGCCAGCCTGTCCCCGGCAACGACATTGGTTTGACCATTCAGATACTCCCTGCAGACTGTTGACAGCACGGCATGGGGGGGGGGGGGGGGGGGGGGCAAGGGCTGCTGGGGCGAATGAGGGGGGTGGTCAGATTCAGTTGCAGTTGTCGCTGTAGCTGCGCATTTTGTTGGCTTTGGTGGCCTCTTGGTGTGCAGCTTCATGGCTTCGCAACCGTGGAGTCACGGCTTCGTGGCTTCTGGTCATTGTGGCGTGCATACTTCGCCATCTTTCGCAAAGCCATTCGCGCGATGCAGATGTGCAAAGTTGGCAATGGCCATGGGTTTAGTGAACAGTGTAGTGCCTGGCACGTGCTCGTACCACGAGTGATCTGATTTGCGCTCCGAACTTCCTCAATTCTTGACTTCAGCTCTTGGCTTCAGCAGCATGAATCGCAGGCTCGTTTCAACTTGCCCGTGGATCTCACGGGGGTGTTGACATGATAGATGTGTTTTCAGATCACACACAAATCCCAACGTGGGTTGCCTGGCAGCCCGCGGAAGTTGCCCCATGTTGTGCACACAAAGGATACTTCGGTTGCTGTTACCTCTTGCCCGCTTCCTCCGCGGTCTTTCTCATGCTTTGAGAGGTAGGGCAGTTTAACTCTGAAGTATGGAAGGCGGTTGATGAGTCCGACGAGACGCAGGCCACGACGGCATGCAATGTTGCTGAACCTTGCGCTATGTGAGTTTCGTGGCAAGCATGCAGTGGAGGTGCAAAATTTCGGTTTCTGCTGCGCAGTGGTGTAGTTGTTAAAGAGGGTGGCAGCTCTTTGCACATGTTCTGGCCAGGAGCACGGAGGCTGCAATGAGTAGGTTTTGTTTTCGGCACATTCTGGTGCGTAGCCAGGCCAGCGGGAGGTCAGTGCGAGATCGCATTGCCACGCCCTTCGCAGATCCCACGACCATGGACCTTGCAGAGGCATGGACGTTGGCCGCAACTGGTTCATACTGCAGCTCCATGAACATGGCACTGCTCGAAATCGGCACGCCGCTTTTCGTGACATGGTAAGTTGCGGCATGTTGCGGCGTGACAGGAACGGAGGGTTCAGCTGGCGCCAGTGGTCTCCACCCTCGAGGCACCGGGTGGGTGGGTGGCGGTTATGCCTGGGCCTGTAAAGGACCTTTCCGGCAAAGCTCTTGTTGACTGCTTGAGGAGTTCGAAGCGCAAGGTGCTTTTCGATCAAGCCGAGACAGGAGAGCGGCTCCGACAAAAAGCAGCGCGAGAGAGAGAGAGAGAGAGAGAGAGAGAGAGAGAGAGAGAGAGAGAGAGAGAGAGAGCGAGAGCGGTTGCAGGCAAGACGAGAGTGAGGAACTTGTGACATGGACTGCAGGATGCCAACTCCCCACGTCAGCTCCGAGCTGCTCCAGGAATTTACGAATGGGAAATACATCGAAAATACATCGGATTTCGAAGCTGGAAGCTGTCCGGACAGTGAAAACTTTGCACTCAGGAGGTTCTTGCGACGGAGGGCAAGACGGTTCGCATCTGCTCAGCTGTTGATGCGAAGGTGGTCATGCCAACAGCAGCGGTTTCTTCGTGCAACCGTGATTGATCAAATTTTGCAGCGCCAGGGGGTTCCGCTTTCTGGCGAGGGACGCCCCAGTCGAGATCGGCAAGCCACTCCCTTCTTCCAGGACGCGTTGGCAACCTTGTGATGCACGATTTGCGCTTTAAACAAACATAGATAGAGACCCTCCTCAGGGTGCTGTTGACCCTTGAAGCATGGTGAGGGCAGTAAAGGGATTGCGGTGGGCGAACGCTCTGGCATCCTGAGGGACCGGATAGCGAGTGGCTTGTGTTGCCTTAAAACGTTCCCCATATCCTCTTCTTCGACTGCCTCCCCTCCCCCCTCCTGTGACTTCTGGGAAAAGAGGAGAAGGCGCCTCAAGAAGCCGCGTCCGTACAGTTTGAGGACGCCGTCACCACAGAGGCGGGGTTAGAAGTGCAGGTATAATTGGTTCATAACTACCATGAACCTCCATGTAGGCGTGTATAAGGGTGTGTAGGGGTGTATAGGGGTGTATAGGGGTGTACAGGGGTGTATAGGGGTGTATAGGGTTTATGCTTCAGGTAGGGTCTAGGGCTTAGGGCTTCCGTAGGGTTTGGGGCGGTGTTGGGCACGCGGGCATCCCTGACCTGGTCTGAAATTTAACTCTTCAGACATCTTCAGAGATGTCGGAGGGGAGATCTCAACAATCCCCCCCCTTTCCAGCACCGAAGGGGGTGTTCCTCAGCAGAGTGGTGTGATGCGTCATTGTCTCGCTGCTCCAATCCGGTGCACAGTGAATAGGAGAGAGTGTGGTCAGGTATCTTGGGGATGGTTTGGTGTATTAGTTGGCCCATGGGCTTGACTTCTGATGGGGAACGGCACCCTGTATAGTTCTGGAAAACTGGCCGGGTGGGCGCATTACATTCATTACATGTCACACGGCAGCAAACAGAAGGTAGCAAAAACACACAGCCACGAAACTCTTCGAAGAAGATGCAGAAGGGGGAAGGCCTCCAGAGGACCCCACTGTGCTGATCCCCCTGCAGGTGATTGAAGTTTCCGGCGCCCGGCGATCCTCTCGAGACCGCCAGGCTACGCCATTCTTCAAGGAGAGACGATGTGCCTTCGCGTATAAGCAGAAGAATCAGCCGTCATATCCAGGCTTGAGTGTCGAAAGATGTTTGAGTCACTTGTTGCTCTACACCCCAAGCTGCCACTCCACAATCGGGTTCCTGATCAACTGTTGGTTCAGATGCATAACTCTGAATGCCCAAAGCTGTCCCCAGCTACTTCTCTTAGCTGTTGGAGAATTCCTTCGCATTTCGTCGGATAGTTTCAGGAGGACGACCTCTCAGCGGAAGCGCGGAGTGTCCAGTTCGACGATGCCATTAGCACACAGGCCCTGGTTTTCATGCAGCGCACCTGTATCAGTATCACATCCAGAAAAGGTGCTGCTTAAAGCTCATGGTTAGAGTGATGCTTCGTGGTCCAACTTGCCATCCGCAACGGATTCGTAACAGTTCAGAAATGCAAGATCAGAAGAAGTTGTGCGTGCAGCTTCTGAACCGCCAAAGAAGCGGGCGGCTTGGACATTGTCCGACGCTCACGGGCGAGTAGCGAAACCCGTGCGCAAGTCACATCCTTTGCATTTTATATTTGGTCTTGATTCTTGACGTTCATGGCCCGACGATAGCCCTCAATGCGCTTCTCAATCGTTTACTACATCGTTTCGCTTCCATCGCTCCTCTTGTCTGTGCTGAGCCTGTCTTGAGTCTTGGTCTGTTGTAGCCTGGATGCTCATCATGCTACTGCATACTGCCTGCACTGGTTCAGAGCAGCCAAAAATGCCAACCACACTTCTCTTCCTCATCACCCTTTTTCTCGCCGTCGCCCTTTCCTCTCTGAGATTTTGACACATAGGCTCCTCACCTTCCAGCCCCTCGGGATTTTGGTATGAGTTGTGTGTCGTCGAGTTATGATGATCGAAGCCTCTCACCTCCTGCATATCCGCGTCCGATTTCTGCACCGAGTTTCGCCCTTAACCAGCTGCCTGCCTGTCGTTTGAAACCAATCCACACACATGTCTCCTCCGCACACCGGCGAGTCTTCTTCGCCAGGTTGTGCCAGGCTCTGGCCCGAGACGATCAGTTCGAGAACGCCAGGCAACCCCCTTCCTCAAGGAGACTATCAAGTAACCCCAACTTGTCCTCTACACAATCACCAAACTCGGTAGACTCTATCCTGCCTGGCTCAGCAGTCCTTTGTGCGCGAGGAGGACGATGTTCCAGAAGACCGTGCCGTCCAATTCAGTGAGGCTGTCCGCACAGAGGCCCGCTGCTCCGAATAAGCGGAGTCGCATCGAGGACCAGAAGTATTGGAAGTTGGATGATCTGCAACATTCTGCAACTCATGCTGCAACTCATGCTGCAACGTAGCTGCAATGCAGCTGCAATGTAGGCGCACTATATCCGCCTTCGTTTTGAGAAAAATTTTGAAGCCACGGCACGATGAAGGTGTAGAGGCCCCCGTCCTAGAAAGCACGGAGTGTTGCCGCCGTTGATCTTCGAAAGCTTGTGGCTCTACGGCCTCCTGTGACCCCCTGTGCCAGCACTGCTGTTGCGAGGCAGTCCAAGCCTCTGGCCCGAGACGTTCTGTTCGAGATCGTGTGGCGACCCCTTTCTTCAAGGAGGAGTGCTGCTTATCTGCTGCGTGCCTTTGAGCTTCTTCCGCTCTTTCGCGCCCGCTCTGTGGCGATGAGTATCGTTGTCGCTAACTATCAGTAATCATACCTTTAATGCTGCAAAACAGAATGAATGCAACTACTATTGGTTTGCAGTTTCTCCAAGAAGCTGGTACCTCTCTTGCGTAGACCTGCTGAAGCACCTGAAGCTTACCGGCAGGAGGAGGACGTTCCTGAGGAAGCGCGTGCCGTCCAGTTCAGCGACGCCGTCCGCACGGAGGTACAGCTGCGCGGGAACTGGAGTTGTCCGCTGTGCCATTTAAACCATGCAGTGCCGGGAATGAATCGTGAGTACTTCCTTTCTTCGGTACTGGGCTGCGCTACTGTTGTTGATGTGAGTGTTGGAAGAAGGGAGGTGGGGTGTTCGGAGGTGGCTTTCGCGGCACCTTTCGGGGTGGTGCGGGGGCAGCGCCGCTAGAAAGAAAAGAGGAGAAAGACAGGGAGAGCGAGCGAGAGAGAGAGCGAGAGTTGCGCAGCCAACGCACTTGATGAATGGCTGGCAGAACAATGGGGTGAATCCATTGTGCTCCTCGAGACACAACACGAGGAAAAGGGCCCCACATCCAAGTCGGATCCCACAGAAGGGGAAGAGCCAGACACCCCTGACACCATACCCTGGGCACCCCCGACACCACCCTCACACCTGCAACCGGCCACACACCCACTGACACAGCACCGCACATTGCACCACCCAGACCCACACTCACTACATGAACCACAACAGCTGGAGATGGTGGACAGAGAACCCACGGAGGAATACCCCTCGCCACCAGACCACACCAAGAAGAAGACGAGCCGAAGGGGAGAGGGAACTACATCGACGTGACCACCGACTACCAGCACAACGGCGAAGGCGAACACATGGGGGGCGCGAACTACACCAACGTGAACATAGAGTACCAGAAGGGGACTACGACAGCAGAAGGAGGAGAACGCATGAGGGAGCCAGCAGCGACTAGGCAAACGATGGGAGCACAGAAAGGGGGGATGACAGTGAAGTGCAGCTAGTTTGTGATTACAGGTGCGTACGGCCCCGATAGGTTGTTTGAGCGAGTCTGAACCCCAAACCCATCGAGAAAACCAGGAGGTACAGAGGGGGGATGCCGAACAGTAGCAGTTTTTGCAGAACCCCTGACTCCTGAGTATTTGGCCAATGAGCCGGACGTCCACTCAACATGAGATGGACGTCATGTACCAACAGACCCGAGACCAGCACGCGCCCCTGGGGGCGGCCTCCCTTCGGGGGGGTCATGCGTGGCCCGGGGGAGAGAGAGAGAGAGAGAGAGAGAGAGACAGAGAGAGAGGGGTGTGGTTGGAAATGCCGGGTTCGCCGTCAACATGTCGGTTGCAGCCGTTGAGTGCTCTTCTTTTACCTGCCGTGATCCCACAGCTGGTGCGAGGCAGTCCAAGCCTCTGGGCCGAGACGTTCTGTTCGAGATCGTGTGGCGACCCCTTTCTTCAAGGAGGAGCGCTGCTTCCTGCCTGCTGCCTGATCTCTGCATGCCTTTGCGCTTCTTCCGCTCTTTCGCGCCCGCCCTGTGCCCCGGTACATGTAGAGGCGTCACCCGTTTGCTTAGCAAGTAGTCAAAAAGAAGAGTTGTCAACTAGCTTACATCGGTTCCGAAGGCGGGCCCCCAAAGAAGACAGGACACAGCATCTTACGAGCCATCCACCGCAGCTGCTGCCTCTCTTGCGTACATGCTGATGCTTACTAGCAGGAGGAGGATGTGCCTGAGGAAGCGCGTGCCGTCCAGTTCAGCGACGCCGTCAGCACGGAGGTGCAGCTGTCTGTGCAGTGCTGCAGTCATGTCGGCCTCGGCCGTGTAGCTCCTGCTGCCATCTCATACCCGGCCTTGTGTGATCTATGCGCAACTGACGGGCGCCCTCCACATGGTCAGTTAATGTCCGCTAGCAGGGGAGCCTGCTGTACCTGCATATCAATAGGCCTGGCTTTGCTGGTGCGAGGCAGTCCAAGCCTCGGGGCCGAGACGTTCTGTTCGAGATCGTGTGCAGACGCCTTTCTTCAAGGAGGAGCCGCCCATGTCTGCAAACAGCTGCAGCCAACTGCTTGCTGCCTGATCCCCGCAATTCGTGCCTCTGCAATTGGCGTTCGTTTGTGGTGTCCCTTTGCGCGTGCTGTCGGCTTGTGCGCCTTCAATGGTGCGATTTGTTGGCTCCAAGTAGTTTAATTTATGGAATCGGCGTAGTAGAAATTACGAAACCTTGGAGCAGCATCATAAGCTCCAGCAGCAGCAGTAGCTCCAGCAGCAGCAGTAGCGGCAGCAGCAATTAGCAGCAACTAGCAGCCATTAGCAGCCATTCGCAGCAATTGGCCATGAGCAGCCATCAGCAGCCATCAGCAGCCATCTGAGCAGCCATCGGCAGACAACAGCAACAGCAGCAGCATGAACAGCACCAGCAGCAGCACCAGCATCAGCATAAGACGGTTTTGGTGATGGTTAAGGCCTCACATTCTGGGGCAGAACGGGTGCGTAAGATTCCAAGGCAAACGGTGAATCTGAAAGACGATGCTTCATACCTGCCTTTGGTAAAGAAGTCCAATGTCAGGAGGTTGCGATCCCTGAGGACGAGCGTGCCGTCCAGTTCAACGATGCCATCAGCACCGAGGCTTTGTCTGGCATTTGTGCTTCCGACTGCGGAACTCATTGCACTTTGCACGTGCTCCAATTTCTTCTGTCTCAGCTGGTTGGCGAGAAGTGTCAAGGGGCGGATCAAGCCCACCACAGACAGATATGCATGTCGGACATGTTGTGAAAAAAGTCTCCACCCACCCCGTGGAGAGTGCTGGTCCCAGCTGAGTGCAGGTTGTGACAAACTTGTCCCTTTTGTGTGAGGCGGTCCCAGCCTCCGGGCCAAGAAGATCGGTTCGAGAGCGTCAAGCGACTCCCTTCCTGAAGGAGGAGCTGTGCGTGGCGGCTTGTGTCTCATTCGGGAGTCATTCGCCTTTTTGGGTATTGCAGGTCTTGAGTTGGTATTGAGACTAGATCCCACATGGTGCCTGTACCACAGTCGTGAATCCTGTTATGAACATGTCTGCGTGGAATAGACATACTGGACATGCGCCAACCATCACAAATCTGCTTTGCCACCCTGATGCACTAGCGTTTATTATACGAGGTGCACAGGAAGTGGCATCTCTTTCAGTGCGCTTTTCATTCAAAGTGCTGGCGGGTGTCGAACATGCTTCAAAGGGCTGCTGGCAGGACTCTGAATCTCCTGAAGAAGGACGAGGTGTCCAGTTCGACGATGCTATCAGCACGGAGGCATTGCGTGTATTTGATAGCGCAGGTTGTCTTTGCTTTTAGTGTCTTAAGACGTTTGTGATTTTGTAGAATGTGAAGATGCCACGGCTTCATGCCGATACGGAAAGCATGTGCCGAAGAATCTGAACTCCCCACAAGATTTCCGCGTCTTCGTGCTGATCCCTCAGCTGCTTGGTAACTAAGCTAGCGAACGAAGTGAACAAGGAAGCGTCTGCAAGGTTGTGACACAAGACCCTGAGAACTTCGATGTAGAACTCAAGCCTTTGATAACAGCCGGGTGTGCCGTTCGTTCGCTCACGCTATCAATCTTATGTTCGCGCGTCATTAAGACTTTGCAACTTGTTATTTTTAACGCGCTTGCGTCAACTCACTACTTTACCGTCTCTACACCAAAATGCCAATAAATGACACAGGCTTTTTGGGGGGTTCGCAAGCTCACTGTCTTGATATTTTTCCGGACCGTTAAGATAACACTATTTGCCCGGGCCCGGGCACACTTTGCGTTCACTTCGTTCATATTGCCGCGCACTCTGTTCAATAATCTACTTCGGTTGCCCAATTAACTACTCCGTTCTCTCCATTAATCATCAGAGATTCTTGCTGCCGATGCGTGTGTGCGTGTTTGGTACGACCACCCCGCACCCCAGCCCTGTCTCCGAGCCAATGCCCCTAGCTTAGTACCTTTGTAGTTGATCACAGGGGGAAGAGTTTCTGTTCCTGTGAAGTCGGCTGCCTTGCCTAAGTGCCCAAATCCAACCCAAGCTGATCGGCTTGGGGGGCGGGCCCATGGAGGTTGGCGTTTTTCCCAGCTCGGATTGAGGGGCTCGGAGCGTCGAACTCTTGCCGGGTCTCCCCAATGACGCAAGCGGCGGGGGGGAAGAGATGGCGGGAGGGAACGTTTCCGTTGGCCGGAGTGCACCCCAGGCCGTCCACTCACTTACTCACTCATAATCAGAGATTCATGAAGGGAACGCTCGTGCGGTCCCCAGGTGGATTATGTACTAGAATTTGTAAGGAGGGAAGTGAATATATATATATATATATATGAACGTAATGACGCGCGAAATTAGGGGACAGAGAGAAGGAACTGGGTGCTCCCTTAAAAACAAAAGAAAAAATGAGCGGCCCAGAAAACCCGTGAGCCGAAAGAGAAGAGACTTGGTGAGCTCGGGGACGAAAGATGCTTAAAATATCACGAATTCAGAGGGCTAGTAGCACGTTTCCTGTTTTCATTTCCTTCGCCATTAGTCTAGATGAAATGATGACGACAGTGTGTTGCCGCTTTCTGAGGAACCAATCTCCACCAAATCGAAAGCTATTCCGTTTCAAAGCGGAATTTCATCAAATTCGTTATTGCCCAGAGTCACCTCATGCTATGTGCCGCCCGCAACATGCCAGCCGCTCGTGACAACCGAAAGGATTCACGACCAAAGAAAATCATAGCATTGGGCTCTCTGGCTGCCTTCTGATTCTGCGAGCATATCCGCACTACAGGTACATACTGGAAGTGGGGGAGAGTCGCACATGCTGGCCAGGTGCAGAGGAAACTACGGCTGTACTCACCCGAACCCTCACTAGAGTCCTCATCGACTCAACACCTGAAACCCTCCAAAAAAATCCCAACAAGGGGCTTCTGAAAAAAGAGGGAGCCTAAGCAGCCTAGGCGTCCTAAGCTTCAGAGACCCTACATCCCCGCCGTTTCGTCACAGCCTTCCATCAGCTACTGGGCTCCAGAAGTTCTTCATGCTTTCTGGATAGTGAGTGTAACAAGAGATGTTGTGAAATTTAGATCCCCGTCCACGTCATGATTTTCCGAAGCCATGGTTTAAGGTCTCGTTTCCATGTATTGGGGGGGGGTTGTTCAATTGCATGTTGCTATACGCTTGGGTGTTTGAGTTTTTGGTGGACATCGTTTTTCCTAGTTTGTGGAAGGTTCATCTCTGCTACTTTCTCTTTCCACACCCGGACGTACAGCTTCCGAATCTGCGTTGTCTACTTTAGTAACTTTAGTACCGAGATTGAAACCAGTGCCTGATCAAGCATGCTTTGGGCGGAGGCGCCCGGGACCTAGTCAAATTTGTGGAAAAGCAAAGAAATGACCTCCCAGACTTGGGGGGTGGCGATGTGGGGAGGGCCGGGGGGGGGGGCGAGGTCGCATACGTCGTATACCAAACGAGGTTTAGGTGGCTGACACGTGGCAAAGAAATGACATGTCTTCAAGCTTCTCGCCAGCACAGCTCGGGGCAAATCTGATCCCGCGAGGCGGTTCCCGTCTCTGGGCCAAGACGGTCGGTACGAGAGCGTCAGGCGACCCCCTTCCTGAAGGAGGAGCTGCGTGCACTTGTTTCGATGCCGCGCTTCTTCGGCCGTCAGAGTTCTGGACCATGCTGGGGTAGGCCCTTGGCCGGCGCGTCTGTGCTAGACGCCTCTGTTCAAGAAACTCTGCTTCCCAGAACAGTCTTATGGCAGGACTCTGAGTCTCCTGAAGAAGGACGAGGTGTCCAGTTCGACGATACTATCAGCGCAGAGGCCTTGCCTTGCTTGCATGTCTCACAGTTCGCCCCCAGGTTTTTTGAAGTAAAGTGTGCATGGAGTGATGCGAATGTCAGAGTGACCTGACGACATTTGGAGTTGATTCGACGAAGTACGAGTGGGGGAGAGAGGAGTACGGGAACCCAGTGCCCAGCTTCACACGGACACTGAACCACACCGGCGCGGGGGGGTGCTTGCGCCCCTCAAGCCCAGCAGAAGAAGAGGACCATTGTGGTAGCCAGTTGAAGAATCTTCAGAGCAACTGCCGGTCAGGGGGCCGTGTGGAGCTGGAACCCCATTGATGAACCTTGACTCAGTCACCCCCATGCGCAGCAATTATTGCAGTGAACCTTCCTGACCAGGTAGTTCAAGTCTCTGGACCCAGACGGCCGGTTCAAGGGCGTCAGGCGACCCCCCGCTTCCTCGGTGAGGAGCGCGACTGAGGTCTGTGCTGATTTGCTTGTACGTGTTGTCTTCGTTCGCGTGGCTCTGGAGGGGAGGGACGGGTGGCGTTGGAATACGGTAGAAGAGCAACTTTGCCGATTGTTGGCGCTGGTTGGCTAGGGCCGCTTGGGCGATGGCCAGCCTGGCTTTGGATTCGTAGAAGCACTAAAGGCGTCCATCAAGGAGCCAGCCACTCGTCGCCGACCGGCAGAGCTGGGCAGACCCAACATGCTTTGCTAGCATGTAAGAGTCTTAGAGTGGCCAGGGTCCCCCAAGCACACCTCCCTGGATCCAACACTAAATGTTGTAGGAACCTACGAAGATCTGAGTCCACAGACGGGGAAGTGACAGGGAACCTCTGAGAAGGAGGACCCACGACCCAACCGGACACCCACCGATATCAAAGAAGCCATGATCAGTGCCTTACGCACACGTCCGCTTATTGAAGTGAGGTTGGGTGTCGCGGACATCTGTTGATTGCTTCTTCGCTCATCACTTCGCCTGTGGCCTCATTCGTTTCTCCTCCTGGGGTCCTAATGTCAGGGCTTTCCAGCCGAGCCAGGTTCTATATAAGCCGGAGTTGTCGAAGCTCTTGCACAAGGTGTCTACTTGTCTTAAGTCACGCGCGGCGCTGCTAGTCACTAGTCCCTGAGCATACCTGAACATACGGAACCCAGACAGGAGGCTCAGATTCCTGGGGAAGTACGGGCTGTCCACTTCAGCGACGCGATTAGCACCGAGGCGTTGCCTTGCAAGCGACTCTGATAGATATCTTGACAGCTGAAGGAAAAGTCGGCATCAGCTGGAGATTATCTTATGGGGGCAGAAATGTAGAGGGATACTTCGGTCATAGAAAGTTTGCTCGGACGGAATTTTGAAGGGAATCCGATTTAGAAGAACCCCACATGGTCAGAAGTCGTTGCTGAAGTGCAGGGTCTTCCGTTTGCGGCCCGATCTGGAGTGTAATCTGCTAAGGGGTTGCTAACAGCTAACGTTTGTGAGGCAGTTCGAGTCTTCGGGCCGAGACGGCCAGTTCAGGAACGTCAGGCAACACCTTTCCTCAAAGAGGAGCTGTGCAAGCTGTTGCTGCTTGTGTCTGTGATTCGTTGGGGCTGCTGATCTACTGAGCAATTTCGGCGATGCTGCAGCAAGGGTTTTCTCTGCTGAGCCTAAAAGTCAAACTTTTAGGAGGGGTTCAGAAGTCAGCCAAGACGAGTTTCCTGAAACTGCAGTGGCATTAATACCATTGAAAGCTTCCCCGTTTGCTTCCAAGACGGTAGATCAACCACTGAAGAACTGTCGAAGCTTCCCTTTCCTGCTGGTGTTCTGAGTCGAAAGGACGCAGAGGTTCCTGCAGACGATCGTGCTGTCCAGTTCAACGATGCCGTCAGCACCGAGGCGCTTTCTTTCGGAAAAGGACGTGAAAGTGATCCTCGTGCTTTGCTCTCTTGAATTGTCAAGCTGTTGGCGAAACTGATGTGCTTGATGGCGTTGGAATGCATTCTTTGTGCCGCAGGATCGGTTCGTTGTGATTACGGTATTCTCCGCCATTGAACTTACGAGCGCTGCGTTTCTGTGCGTTGCATTGCTTACCTGCTTTTTTGTTATTGCCTTTCTTCTTTCGTTCGTTGCTGGCGCTCCTGCTCTTGACTGTTCGTTTCGCAGAGTGTCGGCTTGCTGCTTCTACAGTAGGTTGCTGTTGTAGTCTGTTGTACGTTCAGTCTCTCCTGATGGCTTGATGTTTTCGGGAGCTGATGCATAGTCGTGCTTCGATGACGTGCTGAGCCCCGAGGAATGTGCTGCCTTGCTCTGTGTGTGTTGTTTGGGCTCTTCTACATGCTCGGTCTTGTCTTGCCTCTCCTGCAGATTTCTAACGCTGGCGAATGCCCAAGGACCATTCCCGTGGGAGGCTTTCCACCGAAGAAACATTGGCCCATGCCCGGGCATGTGCAATGGCCCGCACCCCCTTCGTAGGAATATCTATGAGAGAATCACAGCACAGGAAACAGCCAGCACAGGAAACAGCCAACAGTTTGGCTTAGTTTGATTTGAAGGTTCACAATGTTGGTGGAGGGCCGACAAAACGGGCGAGCAAAGATGAGCAAAGTCTACTGCGACAGCACAGCACCAAAAAACGCACAACGTTTGACCATCTCGGCTATGACAGCACCTACAGCACCATACAGCACCACGAGCAGGGACCAACCAGCTAGAAAGCTAGGCTTGTGTCTAGGGCCAATCTTCTCGTCTGCCCTTTTGATTCCGCAAACCGCTCGTGTAGAGATCATTGACTCAATGATGTGCGCAACTTATCTAGGGCACAAACAGTCTGAAGACTTGGCTCTTGGCTGAGTGCGCTTGAAGCCGGAAGCGGCCTTGACACTGATTAAGTGCATGGGCGATATGTACATGTTCGTGGGACTTGGTGCGCAAAATGCTGGTCTGGTTTTTGAGAGTAATTAGCGGATGTTGGAAAGTGCACTTGCAGCCTCCACATGTGTGTTCAGAAGGATATCTGCTGTTGTACGGGAAAGCGGCTGAGCAGGGATCGGTTATGGGTGGCAAGATTCTTCCCATTCTTCCGATTTCACGGAGGAGCTCGGCTAGGTGGAGTATTCTTGTGACAAATTCGAGACGCCTGGATTTCGAAAGGCAATTTGAGCGGATGTCGGATTTGTACTTGGGCTTGGCTTGCTAAGCGTTCTGTGCAGCTGAAGCATGTGGAAATTCGTCTACGCAGTAGCCGCTTAAACAGACAGTGGATGCAAGTACATATTGAGCGATTTCATTCTACGCAAATTCGGGGGTCCAACCTCCATGTGAGGTGTATCACTTGAGTGGCGCCCTGCAGAGAGGTCAACATAGCAGCTTATTTCGATGTAAGCCGCTTGATGCGTACAGCAGATATCAGGTCGGCGACTCGAGGTTCTGTGAATCTTGAACAACACGGGTCGAAACTCAGGTTGCTGCCGAAGAGCAAGCAGGGTGTGCACACTATCGACGTGTGAGAGGGGGGGAGGGGGGGCGGGGGGGCGATGCAGCTAGTCAAAAAAAATCAGTTGCTGGTCACTCACACTTGACTTTAGAGGCTGGGTGAGAGTCCAGTCTTGCTTTGCCAGGCAATTCCCGTTTGTGGGCCAAGACGGTCGTCCCGAGATCGTGAAGCGACGCCCTTCATCAAGGAGGAGCCACGCATGCTTGTTGATTGATAGTCGCTGTGCCGATGATGCACTTTGCATCCCTAATGAAGATCGCAATTAAGGATAGCAGCGTTGCTGATGCCGTTTCTGGTGCTGGTGCTGATGCTGCTGGTGGTGGTGGGATCGTGGTGGGATCGTAGTCGTGGTCGTGGTGGTGGTGGTGGTGGTGGTGGTCGTCGTCGGCTTCCTGCAAGTTTGGGAAATGCCACAGGAGGACGACATCATTGAGGATGCTGACATTGCGAGTCCACAGGCCAATCGTGCCCGAGCATTGTCCCCCCCACTCACACACACCACATCTTCTCCCAAGGACACGCGTATAGTTTATGAATGCATGCAGTAGGTGAGGACATGTTGAAAAAGGTGAGTGGCAGTTGTTGGCCTTATTCTCTCCGACATATTAGCTATTGCTGAGCACAGGCTCGTTTCCCCAACATACGACGGCAGCTATTGGGGACTTCAGCTCATCTAGCAAGGTTTATGGGAGAGTTTATGGGGACGGCCAAAGCACGATTCCAAGCAGGTTCTTGGGAAGGTCAAGCTGAGAACCAGCAACGTCACATTTCTGTTTCATTAGAGGCAAGAGCAAGTGACAGGCAGAGGGCGGTGTCACCTGTATGTAGACTGAACGCGTCAGGTTGAGGGATCAGGTGACCCTTCAAGCTTCCCCCCTCTCCCCCCTCTCCCCCGTCTCCCCCCTCCCCCCTTCGCTCGCCCTCCGTCCGCCTGCTGTCTTTTGAAGCGGTGGATAGCTGCCAGGGCAAGACCGTTCGCATCTTTCCTGCTGTGGTGACAGAGGCCTGGACATGACGGGGAAGAGGGTCTCAAAAGAGGCCGCTTGTGCTGGAAGTCCGAGGGGCCCCCCAGAGCGCGCCCAGCGCAGGCTGCGCTGGTGAGTTCGTGGTGACAGGTCATCCCGGCTTCCGGGCAAAGACGGCCAAGCCGAGACCGGCAGCCCACTCCCTTTGTCAAGGAAGCTCCGGGCCTGCCAAACCTTCCTTTGTCCTACGCTTGATCTGTGTGTGCACCCTTCTCACCATAGTGTTCTTGGAGGTGCGGCGGCACTGCGGGAATTGCAGTCGGCAGTTTCGTGGCATGTGGGGCCCAGGAGCAGGATGAGCTGGAAGCCGCCGCTGTCCACTTTGACGATGCCATCAGCACGGAGGCAGGATCTGGGCAGGAAGTCAAGCTGAGCAAGGCAAGCGCATTGGAGAACGCATAGATTGGCATAGATGCAAGGAGCCAGGCTCCAAAACACTGCAAAAGCCAGCACAAGTGCCGAGAAAGGCATGAAACAGCTTGGCGAGGCATAGCGGCAAGCACAGTGCAAACCAAGGCAATCAAGCAAGATCAGGACGAGGTATGAACAACGGCAGCGGGACGGAAGCTGCGAGCCCGTTCCTCGCAAGTTGCAAGAGACAGAACGAAAAGGCACTCCAACAGTAGTCTCTCACTCTCTCTTTCTCTCTCTTTTCTCTCCCTCTCTCTCTCTTTCTCTCTCTACCTCTCTCTACCTCTCCCTTGCACATATATATATATACACACACAAACCTATATCTAGATGTGATTGCCGCAGCTGCCGGTGAGGTAATCAGCGAGCGACTACCATCTTGCAGCAAATTAGTTTAGATTGCCAACCCCGTCTTGGTTTCATTGAGGCGACTGCTCTCAACGCCCGCTGAAGACTTGTGCCAATGCCTCACATGGCTCGGAAAGCTCCCGCTCCTCACTACAAAGTCCCGGATGACATCTCCAACCGTGTGATTGCATCGCATTAGTATCTCCTCGTTTAGATAATGCTTCACAATGCACTCCAGCTCCCAGTTGTTCACATCGCCTCCCGTCCCCTGAGCTTCTGATCAGAAGAGGTCTGGGTAAGGGGGAATGCTCTGCGGGTAAGTGTCGGGATGAAGGGCAGGGTAAGGAGCTGACAGGTGGGTGAACGATCGAAACACTGCGGTGCATGATACTTGCGGGCGCGAAAATAGCGCCCGCCTGAAGTGCCCGGACCTCCACTGGCTCCTCTGCGATATTTTCGTTGCCATTGACCGACTGCTCGCCAATTCCATCTCATCCTCCTTGATCGCCACCCTGGGGCTGGTTGTGTCGTGCGTGTTTTGCTCGTTTCTGCTTCCGGTGCAGAGCAGCAGATTGGTGCAGAATGGTGCGGCACGGGTCGGGATGCAGACTAGTTTGGCACACTTCCTGCCAAGCGTTCTACCCTGGCAGGCGATTTCTGTTTCGGGACCCAGACGCTCAGTTCGAGAACGGAAAGCGACACCTTTCTTCAAGGATTTCAAGGAGCTACGGGTGAGTTGCTACCGAGCGCGCCGTACATTTTGGTCCGCTCGTGCTTGTCGGCTTGTCAGGGTTCAAGTTCGATGTGATTAGAATTTGGATAGCTTAAAGTTTTCCAACTTCGGACTCCCCAAGCCTCAAACCTTCAGAGCTCTCCGCTCTGCCAGCGACGAAGCCCGAAGCTCAACCTCTCTGGTTCTTAAATATTCATGGTGTGAGTCGTGGGAGCTTTAAGCTTCGACATGGTTGAGTTCCTTCAAGATGTTGTGAATTCCCAGACTGCCAAGCTCTCAAGTCCGCGCCATTCAGAATCACCAGTCCGAAGCCACGGCCAAAGCTTCCAATTGGTGCATCCAGCTAGTAGCTTTGAGAAGTGAGAGGCACCAGGGAGCGAAGCCTTCCGTATTTCGGGACGTTCCTGTTGGCACATCTCCATTCCCTCCCTTATAGTCCCACCGAAAGGAGTTTGACGGCGCTGAAAAAGAGCGGGCCGTCCAGTTCAGCGGTGCCATTAGCACAGAGGCCCCCGCCTTTGACTTTGGTTAACTGCTAGCGTCGGGTGAAGTGGCAAGATGAAGACTTCTCTGGGGCAGCGCAGGTTCACACGCAGTGACAAGTGTTCCCTGTTTTGAACCGCATGTGCAATGCAGCTAGGTGCACTGTACCGCAACATCGTCGCTGTCGTTTTCATCTCACTCCCGAAGCATGAACTGCAATTCAAGTTTGAGGACGAATGCTCGCACACAAATCCATAGGAAAGGCCCCCAGGTTCCCTCAGGCAGCTTCAGAAGGTTGGAATTCCGCGCCCGCGCTACTACAGAACGTCCTGCACTCCAGACGACATACTGTCAACAAGCAGAGCAGAAGCAAGAGGCTGGTCGAATTGAACAAGCTGGCGTGCTTGCGCCCAAACTTACAGCCCCTTGCTGTTGAATTTCGCCGCACCGCGCCGTAGCCAAGACCGGGTCCGGTTTGAATTTAGAATCAGGGAATCAGCACTCACTTCGGAACATCTGCCCTTCAAAACACAAGTCATGCCTGATGGCCTAGCAGTTTGTGGCCGTTGCCGGAAGCAGCTTCTTTGTTCCCGTTTGTGAGGCAGTTCCCGTGTCTGGGCCAAGACGGTCCGTTCGAGATCGTCAGGCGACCCCCTTCCTAAAGGAGGAGCTGTGCACGTTACACGTTGGTTCGAAGCTGCGCCTCTTCGGGCTTTTGGGGCTCTTTGACCTGCTAGATGCTGTAAGTGTGATCTGCACTTTGGGCGCTTCTCGCTTGACAGCATGGTTCACGATCCCTTTCCCAGAATGGTTCCTGCAAATGCAGGAGTTTGAGACTCCGGAGGAAGGACTTGGGGTCCAGTTCAGCGATGACATCAGCACCGAGGCAAGCCCTTGCATGTACCTCAAACAGAGCTAGCTGCCATTTTTGAGACTTCAGTCTTTCCAGTCTTTCATCGCAGAGATCAAACGGCCGCACGGTGCTGCTGAGGGGTGTTTCGCACCACGTCTTCCAGGTGTATTCGGGGGTGCAGATATTTTGATGTCAGTTGATTTTGGGCTGGGCCTGGGATATGCTTCGACTTCCTCGCGGACGAGCCGGAATAGTGCGCGAAGCTGTGGGATAGACGGAGGAGCCTGGACAGAGTTTCGTGTGCTGTTGCTGTCTTGGCTTGCAGGGCAACGTGACAGCAACACAAGCACACTGTACATTCGTTCACCTTTCTTTCTTTCTTCTTTTTGTTGACATTCACTGCATAGCTGCGCCCAGCCTGTACAGTTTCATTTTTGCCCCCCGTGGATAGATTCCTTGGACATCACGAACCTGGACAGCCAACTCGCAGCCGGACGGTTAGAGGAGCTGAAAAGGGTGTTGTGTGCTGAGGGATAGATCCTTGCCCTAACCTTTGGGATACTTTCCTAGACCCTTTGCAACTCGCAGTCGGACGGCTAGAGGACACTGGGGATAGGTGAGTGTTCAAGTGGATATCTTGTCAGGTGTACAACGTGCGGTCGGACGGCTAGCGGATACATCTGGACGATAGGCCACCAACCCCATGGAGATAGCAACTCTAGGGATCCTTCCGATAGTCGACGTCGGGAGTGGCTTAGGAATACTTGGCTAGCTACCTTGTGTTCCCCGTTGGCAGGGATACTGCTGCTTCTGGAGCAACTTAACACCTTACAACTGTATATACCACCTTCCTTGTCTACTTGGGTCTGATCAACCGGAATAGTGGACACAGTTTTCCAGTTCTTCGACGGTTGCGTTTTCGGACGGAACAGCATCGACCACAGCAATGATGTGATATTAGCATTTTTTGAGGGTCGAAGAGTGGAACAACGCCAGGGGACAGGGAATAGGAAGGACCATACAGCTGGTGAATCTTCGGATATGCCAAGGTCACCAAAGATTGATGCTGAGATGAGGGCCAAGAAGATGGAATATACGATAAGCACCCCCACGACCCCCGAACGGGATATCAGATGATGCCGCCGCAAGGGGAAATGGAATATCGGAGTATGAAGGATGTGAGGGCAGAGTTGATGCAACAGAGGGAGTGACTATTGACATCAAGAACGCGACCACGGAGATGAATGACGAGATACGGGATGGGCTCAGGAGGATCAACGATAGACTGGATGAGGTTGAAGAGAAGTCCATAACCCAACGTGCCGAGATGATTGATGTCGAACGCAATGTGCAACGGCAATTGAATGATAGCATTCGGGATCTACGGAGCTGGATTAGGGAGGAGTTGGCAAAGGCTGTGGAACCATTGGGCCGCGAGCGCGGAGAGGCGAGCGAAAGCGCCAATCATGTTGAACGGGACGAGTTTAAAGGGATAGCGAAAAGCGTTGACAGGATCAGTTTTCGAGTGAGGTTTGTCGCGGACGAACTCAAGCGAATAAACGGGACGATGGATTTATCGATGTCGAAGAACATCGCGGAGCCTCTGCAACAGATTCATGAGAGTATCAATGGGATGACGAGTGATATAGGCACCGTGAAGGGGAGAGTTGATGCCATGGAAAAGCTGATTGAGAAGATGGGCAAGGAATATGCGGAAATCATGGACGAGAACAAGCAGCTGAGGGATAGGTTACGCGTGGTAGAATACAGTAGTCGGGACCGTGGGAATATCGCGAGGAGCACTGATAGACCTGACAACCCTTGCGCTGACGATGGGGCGCGGAGCACATGTGTCAGGATCGCTGGGAGGATTGATGGAGTAGAGGCAATTGTCGCGGAGATGGCCAAGGTGCTTCGGCGTGTGCGGGAGCAGCAGGCGAAGGACGCAAAAACATTCGTTGCATCCGTAAAGATCAAAGAGTTGGAGGTCATGGTTCAGGAGATGCGTGAATCGATCGTGAATATGCAAAACGAGAATGCGGTGGACAAGGGCGAACGGAGGGAATATAAAACCCAAACGCAGAGAAGAATCGAGCAGCTCGAGAACGAGAACGCGCGGCTCAGGACCCTGCAGGAGACGCAGGAGGGTTTCATCACGGAGCTCACTCAACGGATAGATGTGGCAGCAAAAAGGAACAGCGTCGAGGCGGAGATGAGCGCAATGTGGGATAGAGTAGCTGAAGTGGAAAAGAGGTGCGAAGAGCAGCGTAGAATGCGTCAGACACTACAGTGTGGAGATGGTCATGGTGGCGTTGATCCTGAGTTGAGACGACGGGAATATCTAGGAATAGTACACAAGTGCTTTGATATGATCCTTCCTGAGGAGCCCAATCCGGCGAATCTACACACGTGGCTTGGGGAGGTGGCCCGGGCGGTGAAAAGCGCGTACATTTACGACGGGGAGTACGGATACTCCACGATTCTGCGTGTGAGGGACATGAGTGAAAGCGAATTGGATAGACCATTGAAGTATGCGGCTTTGGAAAACAAGCTGTGGGAAGGGCTGCGGAATATGATCAAATCGACGAATCTTGCCAATAAAGTGCAGGGGGAGATGTTCAAGCGAACGGCTGTGTGAGAGACAATGTCGGCTATGAGGCTGCTAAGCATGGTGGTTAGATTTTACAGCGTTTCTCCCGATAAGGAGCAGGAGGTGTTGAACGAGGCCTTGCGAAGCAAATGGTCCGATGAGCAACTGGGGGAAATTCTGCATAGTAAGGTGCGGCACCTTTCATTATTGAATCATGACATCGAGGCCTGGAGGAAGAGACCGGCAGAAGGTAAAACCCACTCATGGTTCTATGATAGGATCAAGCAAAGGATAGAGGAATGGAGGGCGGAGCAGAACCACCAGTACATGGAAGATTGGGCGCGGCATCTCTCTGCCAGGGGCGGGCCGCAACCCTGAGGCTATCCGGGAGTATGCCGTATCCGCTCGGATTATAGACTATGCAGATGTCAGAGAACGCTGCGCCGCGAACAGGGATAGGGAACGTCTTCATCCTAATCCAGAGGGTGATCTCATTGCAGCGCTTGTCCCGCCCAGCAATCAGCAAACGACTGATTCCACTGAGGATTTCGTTACGCAGCTCGCCCAGATCGAACGGGGGGTATCTGGGGAAAGGGATTCGAGCAGGGCTTCGCTGAGGGATATGGCCAAGGTTGCGGGGGGGTATCCCAAAATTTCAAAGAACAGTCCCGGTGTCTGGAGACCAAGAAAGAACGAGATGGAAGTCGTCGACGGAATGAAGGTGCGAGCTGGATCAAGATTCAGGCCCAGAATATTCCGGGGCATGCAGGCTGAGATGGCGAATGGCGCATTGATTTTTGAGAACGGGGAGACGCGGAAGCCCGGTCAGTACGCGTGGTGGTGGCTTGAAGCTCGCACGGGAATAGGATGACTACAAACACGGGGCGCAACTGAGGCATCGGGACCTTCGACGCCTCTGGGATACCGGTGGATAGTTTCGGGGTATATCTGGATGGCCGGAATAGTCAGTTTACAGGCGTGGGACACATCTGGGATAAGCCTGGACAGTTCTGCGATAAGCATGGATCGCCCGAGGATACGACTGGACGGACTCGAGGTAACCTGAGTCGTTTTGGCGACCCCTGAGAGAGGGGTAAGGACGGGATAGAGTGGAGGCGAAGCCTGAGCGGACGGGATATCTTCAGGTCTTGCTTATCGGGGGGTCTGCTCGGTACGCGGGGGGGAGATACAGGATTCGAACAGATGAGATGCCCATGAAGAAGATGATGACGCGTGTGTGGCAGTGGCGTGGAATGAGCGGTCTACGGATGCCTTACGTGCGTAATGTTTGCTTTGGTTATCAGGGAGGTTGGCCCCGGACGCGGTTCTGCGCATTGACACATCGGCAGGCGCATTGTAATGTCCACGTGCTCGGGTGGCCAAGAGAGATGGGGGCTTGGATAGTGAGTGGCATATCGAAACAAGCGGACGGATGACAGGGACAAGCTAGCGAAGATAGAAGAGTGGCGATATCATCCAGTCTTGCTTGTCGGGGGGATAGTGCGGGCTCCTCATGTACGATTTGTGGCGGAATTCATCGAGTCAGGATGTGGGAGCAAGGGAAATCCATCGAGTCAGGATGTGGGAGCAGGGATAGCCATCGAGTCAAGATTTGGGAGCAAGGGAAATCCATCGAGTCAGGATGTGGGAGCAAGGGAAATCCATCGAGTCAGGATGTGGGAGCAGGGATAGCCATCGAGTCAAGATTCGGGAGCAAGGGAAATCCATCGAGTCAAGGTTTGGGAGCAGGGATAGTCATCGAGTCAAGGTTTGGGAGCAAGGAATAGTCATCGAGTCAAGGTTTGGGAGCAAGGAGAATACCCATCGCGTTAGGCGCGTGCAGCAGGGAGCCATCAAGTAACACCGGAGTTTGTCGCGGATTGGTTTTGGGATAGTGTGGATTTGCCACCCAGACGTCAGGGAATAGCATGGCCAAGGCGAGACTACACCTATAACATTCCATCGCTTTCACGCAGGAGTTATTGGAGGGTGGACACAGTCATCGTCGACTTGATGACCGCGTGCAGCATAGCACGCTGGGGGGCTTCGCTAACCCTAGGGTTTAGGATTGAGACCTGACGTTTGTCATGGACCAACAGGGAATACAGAGCGGAGATCTTTGCTGCCCGTATCCTCCAAACACAGCAAGTGCAGGATGGAGGGCTTCGCTGTCTACAGGGAATAGGGGTTGGAGATCTTTGCTGCCCGGATCCTTTAAGCAGGAACCGCAGAGTGGAGGGTTTTCGATGCTTGCAGGGAATACAGAGTGGAGATCTTTGCTGCTCAAACCTTCCCGAAGGGATACAGGTACCGGAGCTTCACGTGCCTCAATTCACTGTTTTGGTCCCGAAGGGATACAGGTACCGGAGCTTCACGTCCCTTACTTCACTGTTTTGGCCCCGAAGGGATACAGGTACCGGAGCTTCACTGTTTTGGTCCCGAAGGGATACAGGTACCGGAGCTTCACGTCCCTTACTTCACTGTTTCGACCCCGAGGGATACAGGTATCGGAGCTTCACGTCCCCTACTTCACTGTTCTGGCCCCGCAGGGATACAGGTACCTGCGCTTGGTTGCCCGGACTTACCTGTTCTGGCCCGGGGTGGGATACAAGGCGTGCTGATTACCCCATCGCCGGTCTTGACATTCGACGCCCAGCAGTCGGACCTCATCTCAGAAAAGCTTGGAATACACATGGTGTTGGCAGCCGAGGGGATATTTATAACGTTACGCATGTAAAGGTGATGAATGAGCCGGGGAGAAGGCGTTTCCATCTTCATGTATATGTCCACGCGGTGCCCACAAGCCGGGGGGAGCTTTCTATGAGTTTGAGCTGGCAAAGGAAAATGCCGACGAACGTCTACGTGACGACCAGTGGCCGGAGGGATAGAGGGAAGAGGATTAGCCGTGAGCATGCCTGCCAATGCATGGTGATCAACGTTCCAGAGAGGAGGCTATCCGAAGTCTACGAGTATAACGATGCAGTGTATGGCAAATCTGCAGAATGCGGAGACAGTGTCGCTGCGAGACGGAGCGTGCACGGCAGCGGAGGCATGGCTGATCACCAATAAGTCCTCGCGGCCGGCGTAGCGACTGTCAGTGGAAGTAGGTGTTCACCGTTGCGACGCACCTGGGCGAGAGAAACCACGACGAGAAGAAGGAAGACGCCTGCCACCGTCAACGGCGTCACGTCTACAAATGCGCGTGGGACGGCTTCTCATGTCGTTGGGCGAGGTGGTGTGGCAAGGGATAGATCTGCAGGGCGCGTGCAAAGTCATGCCCCTAGCACATGGAGCGATGCAGCGGTTAGGAATGCCATGGCCCGCTGTCCTCCGCGGCTCTACATTGTCACGCGAGCCAAGCGTGGGATAGGGATGCTACATCGGGGATATATTCATCGAGGGCACGTACGTAAAGGAGGCGCTGGGTGAGACGAGTGGGAGCGACACAGCTGCTGATTCAACTGCGAGCAGCTGGCCTTACGGGGGTGCCATGACGAGTGCAGATCAACTAGTGATGAAACTTCCTGCTTGCGAAAGAAGGGGCGTGGCTGATCACCAGTAAGTCCTCTCGGCCATAGTCAAACAGCATTTGTGGGCATGGCTGGCCACCATTAAGTCCCATCTGCAAAAGAATGGGCTACATCGTCTAGGAGGGGTACTGAACCCAGTGAGAAGGCCGACGATGTGAGGGATAGGGCCTGAACGAGATGAACTGAGTTTCGGCGTAAGGGGAGAGAAGGTGATAGACCAGTTTTCCAACGATGTGGAGTAGCAGACATCTTGGGTGTATGTATTGGGGCACCGTCATAGACGTGAGTGCTCAAACGATGATTCCGAAGGTTTGCGGATGACGGTGTTGCTTTCGAGGGTCGCCGATGTGGTCTTCGTAATCGCGGGTGGTGGTGGGCGCCTCAAAGGGGCTGGAGACCATGCTGGCGATCCCTCCTGCGTTTGTGTTGAAGGTCTGAAGCAAACCGGGCGAAGATTCGCGAATTCATCGTTACATGCTGGGAGACGTCGCTCTGCGAGCTGACGCCCCCATCACGGGGGTGTTTCGCACCACGTCTTCCAGGTGTATTCGGGGGTGCAGATGTTTTGATGTCAGTTGATTTTGGGCTTGGGATATGCTTCGACTTCCTCGCGGACGAGCCGGAATAGTGCGCGAAGCTGTGGGATAGACGGAGGAGCCTGGACAGAGTTTCGTGTGCTGTTGCTGTCTTGGCTTGCAGGGCAACGTGACAGCAACACAAGCACACTGTACATTCGTTCACCTTTCTTTCTTTCTTCCTTTTGTTGACATTCACTGCATAGCTGCGCCCAGCCTGGACAGTTTCGTTTTTGCCCCCCGTGGATAGATTCCTTGGACATCACGAACCTGGACAGCCAACTCGCAGCCGGATAGAGGAGCTGAAAAGGGTGTTGTGTGCTGAGGGATAGATCCTTGCCCTAACCTTTGGGATACTTTCCTAGACCCTTTGCAACTCGCAGTCGGACGGCTAGAGGACACTGGGGATAGGTGAGTGTTCAGGTGGATATCTTGTCAGGTGTACAACGTGCGGTCGGACGGCTAGCGGATACATCTGGACGATAGGCCACCAACCCCCCTGGAGATAGCAACTCTAGGGATCCTTCCGATAGTCGACGTCGGGAGTGGCTTAGGAATACTTGGCTAGCTACCTTGTGTTCCCCGTTGGCAGGGATACTGCTGCTTCTGGAGCAACTTAACACCTTACAACTGTATATACCACCTTCCTTGTCTACTTGGGTCTGATCAACCGGAATAGTGGACACAGTTTTCCAGTTCTTCGACGGTTGCGTTTTCGGACGCATCGCACAAGGGGCAATGGGATCGTTGCTTCGCTTGCTGAAGTTAGAGTTTAGAGGCTGCACAGAAGCCGCCTGGTGTAACAAACCAGAGATGCATTAGATCGACCAGGTCCTGCAAGTCATGGCATCTACACCGGTCACTTGAGAAACTTGAAACCTTGCTCGACGGGTAACTTTGACCAAGGGCAGTAGCGACACGCAAGGAGGCAGTTTTTGCAGAGAGAGAGAGAGAGAGAGAGCATAGAGAAAGAGAGAGCGTACAGCAGCATGGCGGAGACACTGAGAAGTTTGTGGCCGTTGCCGGAAGCAGCTTCTTGTTCCCGTTTGTGAGGCAGTTCCCGTGTCTGGGCCAAGACGGTCCGTTCGAGATCGTCAGGCGACCCCCTTCCTAAAGGAGGAGCTGTGCACGTTACACGTTGGTTCGATGCTGCGCCTCTTCGGGCTCTTGGGGCTCTTTGACCTGCTAGATGCTGTAAGTGTGATCTGCACTTTGGGCGCTTCTCGCTTGACAGCATGGTTCGCGATACCCTTCCCACACAGGGTCTTTCACAGGAGTTTGAGACTCCGGAGGAAGGAACTTGCACAGGTGTCCCCGCATCCCAATTCCGAACCTCTTTGCTGGCGCAAACCCTGCTGGTGGTTTTTACCGATTTTTCAGGTGGACTCGGGCGTACACTGGATGTCACCAGCAGCATTCCACGCTACGCATTTCCTTATATAATATACTACCACCAGCCTTCGCTCGGAACAGTGGAACACACAGCTACACCAAGGCACAATATCTTCCATTACGCTGGCAATAATTGACATCCGCGGCCTCTGTTGAATCGCTGGTCCGAAGCCGCTGCGAAAAAAAGGCACCGTTTACCGCCGAGGCGCCGGACTCCGCAGTTTCGGCGCTTCTCATGCGCTCCCAGATCCATGTTTGGCCGAACGAGCTTCTTGAGCCAACCGAAGCCTATTCCAAGCAAAAAAGAGCATGTTCCCTTGCGTGGAGCCACCGGCAGGAGTTCGAAGATGCTGAAGCAGCACGGGCCGTCCAGTTTAGCGGCGCAGTCGACACAGAGGCCCGGCTTTCTGAACAGTCGCTCCCCACCACAGATGTTCAACGCTTATGGCTGAGATAGAGCGAAGATTCAACATATTCCTAGTGCGCGGAAGTGCTAGCTGCAATTCACATGCGGCCATGCCGATGTCCAAAACGCACCGTCAGTTCGTGCAGGTATGCCTTTCCCCCACTACCTCTTGGCAGTAGGATGAGTGTGAGGTCTTTCTTAGTTCGGGAAATAGATGTTGTACAGTATGTGTACAACACAAGGCAAGTGGTGTGTATCTAGAGCAGTCCGGCGTTGTTCTTCAGCTACCTTTTGGCTCTGAGTCTTCAGGGCATTGCATCCCTGTTTCTGAGGCAGTTCCAGTCTCTGGGCCAACGCGGTCAGTTCGGGAGCGTCACGCGACCCCTTTCCTCAAGGAGGAGGAGCATGTTTGTTCGGTGTTTGCTTCTCTGCTCTGCGGGCACGGGTGTTCATTTGATTCGCCTGCGGGCTCCTGACAACTTCGATTCAACCTGCTTCTTTGTTCGAATGTGTGCGCAGACAAGACGTGACGCGCCAGAAGTCATATCGCAAGAGCCACAAGAGCTGCATGGGCCTGCCAGCAGGAGCTGGAGACTCCAGAGGACGTCCGAGGGGTCCAGTTCAGCGATGACATCAGAACCGAGGCACCCTGCTTCATGTCCCGTTGCAAGGAGTGAGGAAGAGTCCGATTCATGTAGTCCGGAGTCGACCCTACTCCCTCTGTCAACGAGGGTCCAGCTTTCCGTACTTGAAGAGGTCTGGTGCAGTTGTACAAAGTTTTGGCAGGAATCAGCGGGGTGGGAGAACATGCAGACAAAGCACTTGACTTTTCCGTGTTGGCCGCCCACTGTCGCTGTCCCACACCGTCTGTTCGTGCAGGTGTGCCTTTCCCCCACTACCTCTTGGCAACAGTGAGTTGAGCTCTTTCCCAGTTCGGGAAAGAGAATTTGTACAGTGTACCAACAGGTAAGTAATTGCAAACGCTTGTGCGGGGGGTCCCAGGGGGGTTTGGGGGTTTCCCAGAAAGTCCCAGCGAGCCCCAGAAAAGTTTTAGAGAAGATCAATTCGTGTTTTTTTGGAGCACCCCCTCTATAGGAGCCACCGACAGGCGGGATTTCTACGGCATCGGGTTGCAGCTCCTCCAAGTGGTGGGGGGGGGGTCTGGCAGGTCGGGGGGGGGGGGGGGGGCATCACAAAATTTGGCACGGAGGGAAGGGGTGGGTTGGGGGGAAGGAGACCGGATCCCGTGTCTGCTTGTTCCAAACGCTTCTCGGCAGGAAGCCGAGGCGAATGTGTATTTAGATCATTTAGAGCAGTCCTGCGTTGTTCTTCAGCTACCATTTTGGCTAGAGTCTCGGCTAGGGGCCCTTTGAGTCTTCAGGGCATCGCATCCCGGTTTCTGAGGCAGTTCCAGTCTCTGGGCCAACGCGGTCAGTTCGAGAGCGTCACGCGACCCCCTTCCTCAAGGAGGAGGAGCATGTTTGTTCGGTGTTTGCTTCTCTGCTCTGCGGGCACGGGCGTACATTTGTTTTCGATTCGTCTGCGGGCTCCTGACAACTTCGATTGGACCCCACTTCTTTGTTCGAACGTGTGTGCAGACAAGACGTGACACGCCAAAAGTCATATCGGAAGAGCCCACAAGAGCTGCCTGGGTCTGACAGCAGGAGCTGGAGACTCCAGAGGACGTCCGAGGGGTCCAGTTCAGCGATGACATCAGAACCGAGGCACCCTGCTTCATGTCCCGTTGCAAGGCGTGATGTAGAGTCCGATTCATCTAGTCCGGAGTCGACCCTACTCCTTCAATGAGGGTCCAGCTTTCCGTAATTGAAGAGGCCTGGTGCAGTTGTACAAAGTCTAAGTCTACTGTAGGCAGAATTAGAACATGCAGACAAAGCACTTGACTTTTCTGCGTTGGCCGCCCATGTCGTTGTCCCACACCGTCAGTTCGTGCAGGTATGCCTTTCCCCCACTACCTCTTGGCAATAGGATGAGTGTGAGCTCTTTCCTAGTTCGGGAAGGAGATTTTGTACGGTATGTATACAACGCAAGGTAAGTAATGTGTGTTTAGAGCAGTCCGGCGTTCTTCAGTTACCTTTTGGCTAGAGTCTCGGCTAGACTCTGCGTCTTCAGGGCATCGCATCCCTGTTTCTGAGGCAGTTCCAGTCTCTGGGCCAACGCGGTCAGTTCGAGAGCGTCACGCGACCCCTTTCCTCAAGGAGGAGGAGCATGTTTGTTCGGTGTTTGCTTCTCTGCTCTGCGGGCACGGGTGTACATTTGTTTTCGATTCGTCTGCGGGCTCCTGACAACTTCGATTGGACCCCACTTCTTTGTTCGAACGTGAGTGCAGACAAGACGTGACGCGCCAAAAGTCATATCGGAAGAGCCACAAGAGCTGCATGGGTCTGCCAGCAGGAGCTGGAGACTCCAGAGGACGTCCGAGGGGTCCAGTTCAGCGATGACATCAGAACCGAGGCACCCTGCTTCATGTCCCGTTGCAAGGCGTGATGTAGAGTCCGATTCATCTAGTCCGGAGTCGACCCTACTCCTTCAATGAGGGTCCAGCTTTCCGTAATTGAAGAGGCCTGGTGCAGTTGTACAAAGTCTAAGTCTAGGCAGAATTAGAACATGCAGATAAAGCACTTGACTTTTCTGCGTTGGCCGCCCATGTCGTTGTCCCACACCGTCAGTTCGTGCAGGTATGCCTTTCCCCCACTACCTCTTGGCAATAGGATGAGTGTGAGCTCTTTCCTAGTTCGGGAAGGAGATTTTGTACGGTATGTATACAACGCAAGGTAAGTAATGTGTGTTTAGAGCAGTCCGGCGTTCTTCAGTTACCTTTTGGCTAGAGTCTCGGCTAGACTCTGCGTCTTCAGGGCATCACATCCCTGTTTCTGAGGCAGTTCCAGTCTCTGGGCCAACGCGGTCAGTTCGAGAGCGTCACGCGACCCCTTTCCTCAAGGAGGAGGAGCATGTTTGTTCGGTGTTTGCTTCTCTGCTCTGCGGGCACGGGCGTACATTTGTTTTCGATTCGTCTGCGGGCTCCTGACAACTTCGATTGGACCCCACTTCTTTGTTCGAACGTGAGTGCAGACAAGACGTGACGCGCCAAAAGTCATATCGGAAGAGCCACAAGAGCTGCCTGGGTCTGCCAGCAGGAGCTGGAGACTCCAGAGGACGTCCGAGGGGTCCAGTTCAGCGATGACATCAGAACCGAGGCACCCTGCTTCATGTCCCGTGGCAAGGCGTGACGTAGAGTCCGATTCATCTAGTCCGGAGTCGACCCTACTCCTTCAATGAGGGTCCAGGTTTCCGCAATTGAGGAGGTCTCGTGAAGTTGTATAAAGTCTTGGCAGGAGTCAGTGGGGTAGGAGAACATGCAGGACAGATAAAGCACTTGACTTTTCCGTGTTGGCCGCTCACTGTCGCTGTCCCACATCGTCAGTTCGTGCAGGTATGCCTTGGATGAGTGTGAGGTCTTTCCTAGTTTGGGAAAGAACTTGGTACAGCATATACAACACTGGGTAAGTAATATATATATATGTATATATATATATATATCGATATTTCTACTTATATTTATATTTATATTATTTATGTATTTAGAGCAGTCCTGCGTTGTTCTTCAGCTACCTTTCGGCTAGAGTCTCGGCTAGACTCTGCGTCTTCAGGGCATCGCATCCCTGTTGAGGCAGTTCCAGTCTCTGGGCCAACGCGGTCAGTTCGAGAGCGTCACGCGACCCCTTTCCTCAAGGAGGAGGAGCATGTTTGTTCGGTGTTTGCTTCTCTGCTCTGCGGGCACGGGCGTACATTTGTTTTCGATTCGTCTGCCGGCTCCTGACAACTTCGATTGGACCCCACTTCTTTGTTCGAACGTGTGCGCAGACAAGACGTGACACGCCACAAGTCCCCATTGCAAGGGCCACAAGAGCTGCCTGGGTCTGCCAGCAGGAGCTGGAGACTCCAGAGGACGTCCGAGGGGTCCAGTTCAGTGATGACATCAGAACCGAGGCACCCTGCTTCATGTCCCGCTGCAAGGCGTGATGTAGAGTCCGATTCATGTAGTCCGGAGTCGACCCTACTCCTTCAGTCAACGAGGGTCCAGCTTTCCGCAATGCAAGAGGTCTGGTGCAGTTGTATAAAGTTTTGGCAGGAATCAGTGGGGTCAGTTGGCCGCCCATGTCGCTGTCCCACACCGTCAGTTCATGCAGGTATGCCTTTCCCCCACTACCTCTTGGCAATAGGATGAGTATGAGCTCTTTCCTAGTTTGGGAAGGAAATTTTGGGCAGTATATACAATGCAAGGAAAGTAATGTGTGTTTAGAGCAGTCCGGCGTTATTCTTCAGCTACCTTTTGGCTAGAGTCTCGGTTAGACTCTGCGTCTTCAGGGCATCGCATCCCTGTTTCTGAGGCAGTTCCGATCTCTGGGCCAACACGGTCAGTTCGAGATCGTCACGCGACCCCCTTCCTCAAAGAGGAGGATCATGTTTGTTCGGTGTTTGCTTTTCTGCTCTGCGGGCACGGGCGTACATTTGTTTTCGATTCGTCTGCGGGCTCCTGACAACTTCGATTGGACCCGCTTCTTTGTTCGAACGTGTGCGCAGACAAGACGTGACACGCCACAAGTCCCCATTGCAAGGGCCACAAGAACTGCATGGGTCTGCCAGCAGGAGCTGGAGACTCCAGAGGACGTCCGAGGGGTCCAGTTCTGCGATGACATCAGAACCGAGGCACCCTGCTTCATGTCCCGCTGCAAGGCGTGATGTAGAGTCCGATTCATGTAGTCCGGAGTCGACCCTACTCCTTCAGTCAACGAGGGTCCAGCTTTCCGCAATGCAAGAGGTCTGGTGCAGTTGTATAAAGTTTTGGCAGGAATCAGTGGGGTCAGTTGGCCGCCCATGTCGCTGTCCCACACCGTCAGTTCATGCAGGTATGCCTTTCCCCCACTACCTCTTGGCAATAGGATGAGTATGAGCTCTTTCCTAGTTTGGGAAGGAAATTTTGGGCAGTATATACAATGCAAGGAAAGTAATGTGTGTTTAGAGCAGTCCGGCGTTATTCTTCAGCTACCTTTTGGCTAGAGTCTCGGTTAGACTCTGCGTCTTCAGGGCATCGCATCCCTGTTTCTGAGGCAGTTCCGATCTCTGGGCCAACACGGTCAGTTCGAGATCGTCACGCGACCCCCTTCCTCAAAGAGGAGGATCATGTTTGTTCGGTGTTTGCTTTTCTGCTCTGCGGGCACGGGCGTACATTTGTTTTCGATTCGTCTGCGGGCTCCTGACAACTTCGATTGGACCCGCTTCTTTGTTCGAACGTGTGCGCAGACAAGACGTGACACGCCACAAGTCCCCATTGCAAGGGCCACAAGAACTGCATGGGTCTGCCAGCAGGAGCTGGAGACTCCAGAGGACGTCCGAGGGGTCCAGTTCTGCGATGACATCAGAACCGAGGCACCCTGCTTCATGTCCCGCTGCAAGGCGTGATGTAGAGTCCGATTCATGTAGTCCGGAGTCGACCCTACTCCTTCAGTCAACGAGGGTCCAGCTTTCCGCAATGCAAGAGGTCTGGTGCAGTTGTATAAAGTTTTGGCAGGAATCATTGGAGCGCAGCCGTATCTAGCAAACACCGCAAGCCGAAGTCAGAGGCACCTCAGCCGCATTCACAAACAAGACAACGAGGCAGGATTCAGGAAACGAGGCAAACAGATTCATCAACAGCCAAAGGCCACAATCAGCAAACGTGCACTTCCGAGCTGATTCTTTCCTCTTCCTCCTTGGGGGAGGCTCTCATGACCTGCAGGTATGCTTGTTCGAATGTCCGAAAGGCAGACAATAGAAACCTAAGCATGATGGGTTTCAATGTTTCAAAGAGGTTCGTATGCTTTGAAGCAAACTTGTACGGCTCGAAAAAGCGGGGGGGGGGGGGGGGGGGTTGGGCGCAGCCCCCATCTGCAAGCAGAATGCTCGCATGAGCAGGGATTCAAAAAAACACTCATATGCATTGGAGCGAGCTGGCTTGCACGGCTTTAAAAGCCCGGGGGGCGGGGGGGGCTAGCAGAAAGGGGCAGCCCCGCATCTGCAAACACAATGTTCGCGTGATGGGTTTCACAAAGATTCATACGAATTGAAGCCACGGCCTAAACAGCAGTTCCCGCATTTGCAAACACAATGCTGGCATGATGGGTCTGAAAAAGGCTCATGTGGATTGAAACAAGATTGTACGGCTTGACAAAGCGGGCTGGGGGGCCGCCCCTCCCCCACTTGCAAACACCATGCTCGTATGAGGGGTTTCAAAAAGATTGATATGCTTTGAAGCAAGCTTGCGAGGCCTGAGAGGGGGGGGGGGGGTTGGGGAGGGCGGCAGTCCCCCGCCCACCCACCCATCTGCAAGCAGAATGCTCGCATGAGTGGGGTTTCACAGATGCTTTGAAGCAAGCTTGCGCGGCATGAAAAGCCCTCCACCCCTCCCACCCCTCCGCCCCCAAACCCCCCCCCAAACCCCCCTCCCCAACCCCCCCCCATCCCACCCGCCCAACCGTTTTTTTAAGCCGTGCAAGCAGAGTCTTTTTCAAACCCATCATGGGAACATTGTGTTTGTAAAATAGGGGGGGCCCCCAAAGCGAACACAATGCGCATGATGAGGGGCTTCAAAAAAACTCACATGCATCGAAGCAAAGATTGAAAAAAGAGGGGAGTTGGGGCACCCCCTTTGTTTGCAATCGTAATGCTCTCATGAAAATATGCACGGCTTCAGAAGGCGGGGGGGGTCGAGAAGCAAGCACGCTTTGCTTGAAAAAGCGGGGTCCCCTCCTTTTGCAAACTCAGTGCTCGCATGATGGGTTGGGTTGGGTTGGGGCCGGGGGGGCCGGGTGGACCCCAAGCGCAACAGCAAAGCCACTCCTACATGGAGAACTCTCTCGCGCGGTAAGCTGGTTTTTGTGTGCTAGCTGCGGGCCTTGTCTTTCCGTGACACTTCTAATGTCTTACGGTCCGGATCTCTTTCGAAGAGGGGTGTTCGTGCGGTAAGCGCGTGTTTGTGTAGTAGTTGTCTTTGCTTTGATGAATCGGTATTTTCGGTGACTTTTGTGAGTCTCCCGGCCTGGATCTCTTTGGACGCGGGGTTCGCGCAGTGCTTGCCTATTGGCGGCGTTTGCTTTGCTGAGTCGAGCTCTTTCTTTTGGTGACTTTTCTAATCTTTCGCGGTCTGGGTCTCTTTCGGAGCTTGTGTGCGTCTATTTGTGGCCTTTGTTTTTCCGAGTTGAGCCTTTTTCTTGTCTTGAACGTTCAACTGTTCGTGGTCTTCTTTCGAAGCGGTTGTTTGTCTATTTGTGCCCCATTGTGCCCTTTTCGAATCGGACTTTATCTTTTAGTATTTGTTCCACTATCTCCCTGTCTGTGTTTTTTTCGAAGCGGGTGTTTGCCTGTGTGTAGCGTTTGCTTTGCTGAATCTAGCTTTTTCTTGTCGTGACTTTTCTATTCTCGCGCGGGCTAGATGTCTTTCGAGGCTCGTGTTTGTCAAGCAGCGGCATTTGCTTTGCTGCATCTGGCTTTTCTTTTCATTTCTATTCGTGAGTGTTCTGATCTTTCGTGGTTTGGGTCCGTTCCCGGTGATCTGCCCCTGCTTTTGGGCGTTGTCCACATGAGGCCCTCTTGCTTTGAATCCGTTTGTCATGTTTCCTGGCTGCGGCCGTGATGTTTCTTGACGTTGCCTGGGTTGTTCTCTGCTTTCGGCTGGCTTGTCTCTGAATGTGCTGGGGGTTCCTGAGTTAATTTCTTCAGCTACCTTTCGGCTCATGGCCCTCGGTTGTTCCAGTCTCTGTGCCAACACGGAGCATGTGTGTTCGGTGTTTGCTTGTTAGAATTCAAGCTCAACTCTTCTCCTCGCCCGGTCTACTCCTCGCCCAACGCCAGGGTGCCCAACCCCAGAGTGTTTCTGGAGTGCCCGAGTCTGCCTGGAGTGCTCGAGTGCCAACCCCAAAGTGTCCCCGGAGTGCCCCAACCCCCCCAGAGTGCGCTGCCCAACTCCAGAGTGTCCCTCCCTGGACTGCACAACCCTAGATTGTCCCTAGAGTGCCCAACCCTGAATTGCCCAACCCCAGAGTGTCCCTGGAGTGCCCAACCCCAGAGTGTTTTTGGAGGTGCCCCCCCCCAAACCCGCTGGAGTGCCCAACCCCACATTGTCCCTGGGTGCCCAACCCCAGAGTATCTCTACCTAGAGAGGGTGGGGATGTTCGAAGTAAAGTAGTTTTCGAGTCGTCTTCGGGCTCCTGCGACTTCGATTGGACCACCTTCTTTGCTCGAACGTGTGCGCAGACAAGATGTGACACGCCGAAAGCCCTGTCGCAAGAGCCACAAGAGCTGCATGAGCCTGACAGCAGGAGCCTCCAGAAGACCTCCGGGGCGTCCAGTTCAGCGATGACATCAGCACCGAGGCACCCTGCGTCATGTCCCGTTGCAAGGAGTGATGTAGAGACCGATTCATCTCGTCCGGAGTCGACCGTATTCCTTCACTCAATTGAGGGTCCAGCTTTCCGTAATTCAAGAGGTCTGGTGCAGTTTTAAAATGTCTTGGCAGGAGTAAGTGGGGTGGCAGGACTTGCAGGACAGCAGAGTTCTTAAAGCACTTGACTTTTCCGCGTTGGCCGCCCACCGTCGCCGTCCCACACGGCAGGGCCGTGCAGGTATGCTTTTTGGCGAAAGGCTGAGTGCGAATTCGTTCCTAAGTTCGGGAAATAGATTTTGTCTAGTAGTCCTGTATACAATACAAGGCAAGTAACTTGTATTTAGAGCAGTCCCCCGCCAGTTTCTTCAGCTACCTTTCGGCCAAAGGCCCTCTGAGTTTTCAGGGCACCGCATCCCTGTTTCTGAGGCAGTTCCAGTCTCTGGGCCAACGCGGTCAGTTCGAGAGCGTCACGCGACCCCTTTCCTCAAGGAGGAGGAGCCTGCTTTTTCGATGTTGCTTCTCTGCTCTGCGGGCAAGGCTGTGCATTTGTTTTCGATTCGTCTGCGGGTTGCCTGGAGGCTTCAATTGCACCACCTTGTTTGTTCGAACAATGTGCACAAACAAGACATGACACGCCACAAGAGCTGCATGGGTCTGCCAGCAGGAGCTGGAGACTCCAGAGGACGTCCGAGGGGTCCAGTTCAGCGATGACATCAGCACCGAGGCACCCTGCTTCAGTGATAAAGATTCCGATTCATCTAGTCCGGAGTCGACCCTACTCCTTCACTCAATTGAGGGTCTCGCTTCCGTACTTGAAGAGGTCTGGTGGAGTTTTAAAATGTCTTGGCAGGAATCAGTGGGGTGGCAGGACTTGCAGGACAGCTAAATTTCAACGCACTTGACTTTTCCGCGTTGGCCGCCCACCGTCGCCGTCCCACACGGCAGGGCCGTGCAGGTATGCCTTTCCTTCACCTCTTGGCAGGAGCTTTTTCCTAGTTCGGGAAAGAGCTTCTGTACAGTATGTATACAGCATGAGGCAAGTAATGTGTATTTAGAGCAGCCCCGCGATAATTTCTTCAGCTACCCTTAAGGCACTTGTGTTTTCTGCATTGGCCGGCCACCATCGCTGTCCCACACAGTTCGTGAAGGTATGCCTTTCCCCACTACCTCTTGCCAGGATGGGTGTGAACCCTTTCCTAGTTCGGGAAATAGATTCTGTACAGTAGTCCTGTGTACAATACAAGGCAAGTAACGTGTATTTAGAGCAGTCCCCCGCTAGTTTCTTCAGCCACCTTTCGGCCAAAGGCCCTCTGAGTTTTCAGGGCACCGCATCCCTGTTCCTGAGGCAGTTCCAGTCTTTGGGCCAACTCGGTCAGTTCGAGAGCGTCACGCGACCCCTTTCCTCAATGAGGAGAAGCGCATGTTTGTTCGGTGTTTGCTTCTCTGCTGTGCGAGCAAGGCTGTGCATTTGTTTTCGATTCGTCTTCGGGCTCCTGCGACTTCGATTGGACCACCTTCTTTGTTCGAACGTGTGCGCAGACAAGATGTGACACGCCAAAAGCCCCTGTCTCAAGAGTCGCATGGGCCTGCCAGCAGGAGCTGGAGACTCCAGAGGACGTCCGGGGGGTCCAGTTCAGCGATGACATCAGCACCGAGGCACCCTTCGTCAGTGATGTAGAGACCGATTCATCTAGTCCGGAGTCAACCCTACTCCTTCACTCAATTGAGGGTCCAGCTTTCCATAATTTAATGAGAGTTTTGCGGTTACCCCTGTGTTCGGTAACCTTAAATATTCCGTGATATAGCCCGCGATACAGTCGAATTAGCACTCACTGACTCACGCGATACCCACGTGAGCGCTAATTGGGCTGTACCACGGGCTATGTGGACAAATTTAATTTTAGAGGTTACCGGCGTGCGGGGTTACCGGGCCACTCTCCAATTGAAGAGGTCTGGTGCAGTTTGAAAATGTCTTGGCAGGAATCAGTGGGGTGGCAGGACTTTGCAGAACAGCTAAATTCTTAAAGCACTTGACTTTTCCGCGTTGGCCGCCCACCGTCGCCGTCCCACACCGCGGGGCCGTGCAGGTATGCTTTTTGGCGAAAGGCTGAGTGCGAACTCGCTCCTAGTTCGGGAAATAGATTTTGTACAGTAGTCCTGTATACAATACCAGGTAAGTTATGTGCATTTAGAGCAGTCCCCAGCTAGTTTCTTCAGCTACCTTTCGGCCAAAGGCCCTCTGAGTTTTCAGGGCACCGCATCCCTGTTTCTGAGGCAGTTCCAGTCTCTGGGCCAACGCGGTCAGTTCGAGAGCGTCACGCGACCCCTTTCCTCAAGGAGGAGGAGCCTGCTTTTTCGATGTTGCTTCTCTGCTCTGCGGGCAAGGCTGTGCATTTGTTTTCGATTCGTCTGCGGGTTGCCTGGAGGCTTCAATTGCACCACCTTGTTTGTTCGAACAATGTGCACAAACAAGACATGACACGCCACAAGAGCTGCATGGGTCTGCCAGCAGGAGCTGGAGACTCCAGAGGGCGTCCGGGGGGTCCAGTTCAGCGATGACATCAGCACCGAGGCACCCAGCTTCATGTCCTGTTGCAGTGATGTAGAGTCCGATTCATCTAGTCCACGTCGACCCTACTCCTTCACCCAACGAGGGGCCAGCTTACTTGAAGAGGTCGCGTGCAGTGTTAAAATGCCTTGTTAGGAATCAGTGGGTTGGGAGGGCATGCAGGACAGCTAAATTGCACTTGCCTTTTCTGCATTTGCCGCACACTGTCGCTGTCCCACACCGTCAGTTAGTACAGGTATGCCTTTCCCCACTACCTCTGATGGGCGTGAACTCTTTCCTCGCTCAGGAAAGAGATTTTGTACAGTATGTATACAATACATGTAAGTAATGTGTATGTAGAGCGGTCCCGAGCTAGTTTATTCAGCTCTGAGTTTTCAGGGCATCGCATGCCTGTTTCTGAGGCAGTTCCAGTCTTTGGGCCAACTCGGTCAGTTCGAGAGCGTCACGCGACCCCTTTCCTCAATGAGGAGAAGCGCATGTTTGTTCGGTGTTTGCTTCTCTGCTGTGCGAGCAAGGCTGTGCATTTGTTTTCGATTCGTCTTCGGGCTCCTGCGACTTCGATTGGACCACCTTCTTTGTTCGAACGTGTGCGCAGACAAGATGTGACACGCCAAAAGCCCCTGTCGCAAGAGTCGCATGGGCCTGCCAGCAGGAGCTCAACACTCCAGAGGACGTCCGGGGGGTCCAGTTCAGCGATGACATCAGCACCGAGGCACCCAGCTTTATGTTCTGTTGATTCTGTTGCAGTGATGTAGAGTCCGATGCATGTAGTCCGTAGTCTAGTCCGGAGTCGACCGTATTCTTCACTTAAATGAGGGTCCAGCTTTCCGTACTTGAAGAGGTCTGGTGCAGTTTTTAAAATGTCTTGGCAGGAATCCGTGGGAGGGGGTAGGGATTGATGGTCGAACACCCATGGGGCCAGGAAGGGAGGGGGAAAGGGAGGGTTCACAGTCCAGTTGCAAAAAGGGAGAAGGGGACCGGGAGTGTTCAGGCTCATGGACAGCAGTGCGTCAGCAAGAGAGGAAACCTTCTTCACGTTGTTGTTTCAACTTACACGCCGGGAAGCCATAGACTCTTCCATTTCCTACGACAAAACAAGGGAGCGCAGCCGAACCCTCACAGCAGACCAGTCCTTCAGAGCAATTCGTGGAGGGCTGCTAAAGCTCTATGACAAGGGTGAAGAGTCATCGATTCTAGCAGGGTAGTTGCCAGAACGCTTGTTGCCGAAACAGCACGGTGCGTTCATGCGGTCTTCAGCACGTTAGGCACAGGCGTCACCCCCATGGTCGGATGTGCAGTGGATTTGCTTTGATTTCCGAGGCAGTTCGAGTCTTTGGTTCAAGACGGCCTGTTCAAGACCGTCAGCCAACACCTTTTCTGATGGAGGAGCTCTCCGTGAGTTTGCTTGTTTGTGCGTGCCTCTTGGACTTTTGTTGACACATCTCTTCCTGTGCTATGCAAGCCAGGCGGTAGTGCCTTCGATTCCTACACTTTCTTGTAGAACGTTGATGATTTCCTGATATTTGCCCAGCAATCTCAGCATGCTGGGCTGCAACTGCGTCTGCCCGCAAAGTGCTTAGGGTGGCCGGGCAAATAACCACTCGGAGTGACAGAGCTTGTCTTGCAAGGGTCCCGTGGCGTCACGGACTTTTCTTCGCGTTTGACTTACCTGGCAAGGACGAAGAGGTTCCTCCGGACGATCGGGCTGTCCGCTTCAACGATGATGTCAGCACCGAGGTGGGGGATTTCGCATGCTTTGGCACTGTCTTTCTCGGAGATCGTGTCTTTCTGCTTCAACTGTTGCTGTATGTTTGTTTTGGCCCGTGTATGTTTCTGCTTCGCGTTGCGTTGCAGTGTTTCGTGCACCGGCGGTAGGATGCCCTAAGCTTAGTTTTGTCCCCTGCACCGGAAGGTTATCCCGGGGAAATAATTGTTCCAGAGGAATTTGGTACGTACCTGTAGAGTGTCCACGTCTAGGAGCTTTTGCCCAACCCTGAATTACTGTACGAATTCATCGGGCCATCGGGCTGTTCAGGCCATAGGCTTGAGTGCGCTAGCGAATAAGGCTTCGCCAATCGACGGTCTCGGGCTCAAATCCCCTTGCGGTCTTCTAAAAGCCCTCTTCTGTTTCTAAACCAATTGGGAACGAGGAATAAAAGCACTTGCATGTTGCCTTCCCAAGAAACTTGTCCACCCACCCTCGGGCACCGTAAGTTTCCTTAGCTAAACGGTAATCGCAAATCACCAAACATCCGATTCTAGAGGTTAGTTTCTTATACAATGGGTTCGTACACAATGGTTTCACTGTAGTTTGTTGTTGACTCCGTTCCCCCCAAGGCGTTCCTTCTTCAGGTGCTCCTCGTACCGTTGCAATTCTCTTTTTCGCCTGCGGGCAGTTTGGCTTCGGTCTGCCTTGCTGCCGGCTGCACGCTGGTGATGGAAACTCGCGTGCTGCCAACAAGGGGTGCGCTTCCACTGTTCCCGTGCCAGTCATATCTTCAATTCATGTTGGCCAGCATAGTGGCACAAGCAACATCTCAACAGCATCAGCAGTTAAAACCGAGCCGTGCCGAACAGGACAGCCCCACTCTGCCGCAAGGGAAATGTGGCCATGTGCTGCCTTCCTGCTCTTGGTCACAGCAATGCTGGGCAACGAATCGTCGTGGAGGAAGCTTGGAGGACGATCTACACACTCAGACACTGGACATCCACGTATGCTGAGGGTCCCCTGGCAACTACTTCGCTTTCAGGTGGGCTCCGACCGCCCCAGGAAAAGCACGAATGTGTAACAGTATTCTGAAAGTCAGTCCTCCGGAATTCACAAGACCGAGTTACAAACAGCCAGCCCCCAGATCCGAAAAGGGTGGTATTCTGAATCTCATCAGAAAACTTCGAACTTAGAGGCTGTGGAGCACTTGGACGTCGCGGGATATTCTTGCAGTATTTGCAGTTTCAAGCATTTCTCAGCGCATCCGGGACGGTCGGTTTGGGGTCGGCCCGGCGTGGCCAAGCTGGAATTTTTCTTTTTGCTGGGGTTTAGTTGAGGGACGGCTCGCAGCCAGCTGTGGCTCTTGCCTGTCCTTCCTCTCTTTGCCATAAGGCTGATGGCATAGCGGTCAAGCCTTCTGCTTCGGCCAGGCGATACCAGGCGCTGGGCCGAGACGGTCGTCTCGAGACCGTGAGGCGACGCCCTTCATCAGGGAGGAGGCGCGCGATGACACAAAGTTGGACGGACAGTTGCCCTTTGGACTCGCAAGTCTCTGAAGATGTGATGGTAGACTAAGACACGGCCTGATCGTTGTACTAGTACACACAAAACAGATACAAATTAGGTTTCACGAACCTGCATGCACAAGCATCGTCCTGTGGGTTAGGTAGCCTCCAGTACAGGCTTCTTGCAGAAGCATAGGCTTGTTGAGGGTGGGCATCATGCAGCGTGATTTCGTGGCTGGCTGTTTCGCTAAGGGGCCAGAAGTTATTTCAGATTTTATGTAGCTATGCCCGGGCGGGCTCGTCCGCTCTCTCAGAAATTGGGTGTGTTTTGAGCCGGCTGGGACATGCGATGCAGCTGTGCTGCAGGTGCTATGTTTGCCTCACCCGAAAAAAGCACAGCAGGACGGCGCACTTGCAGAAGCTGGTGGTGTTCAGTCTGATGGTATCGCGAACACAGAGGCCATATGCACAAAAGCGCACTTCCCCATTTGCACAGAAGCGCACTTCCCACATCTGCTTTTGCACGTGTAACATGTACATAGCCTACAGGATGTAAGCTCGGCATGATAGAAAGCCCAACGCAAAGCAGAAGGGTGGCAGGGTGAGGCTTGCAGTTTGACTTGGCTCCTTTGCAAGCGGCGGTCCCCTCAGTCTTTTGCAAGACAACACCTGTGCTTCAGAGTTCAGCGGCTGTTGCTCCAGTTCTGTTGGTTGTGGACATGAGGATGCTTGAACAGCTGTGTAAAGTGTTTGGCTTCCTGTATCCATAGTGTGCACTTTGCAGGAATTTCAAGGCGACAGGAGTTGCAGCTGAGCCGAGACAGGACCTCTTTTGCGCCCACAGCTTGTTTGCAGCGGTTGTTGTCGGATGCGGTTGTGAGCTTGCAGGATAGCTGCTCCTCATCTGAGCACCGAGACGGCGCACTCGTATGCCATTGCTAGTTACTGCTAGTTCCCGACGCACGATTGAGGCCACACTCATGGGCCTTCACGAATTCGGGTCAGAACATTTGCATCTGTCCTGCTTGAAGTCAGGACTTGCCTGGACGAGAACGATAGCAAATTCGGAACAATACAAAATCATGATTTGATGCGTCATCATGCTATGTATGTGTATGTCTCCTGGCAGAATATGTCTTGTTATTAGTCATGACGGATATCGACAAGCAGTTCATGCAAAACGCCGGTTTTCTTCTACATTTGACAGGAACATTTGGCACGGCAGAGTCTTCTAGGTTTGATAGCTGAAGGTTCGACAATTTTATGTCGGTATATAATGGATTTCAAGACGAATCAAATCATTTCATCATGTTGGTTTCTACGTTTTAAAAGTTCAGAGGGTCATGTATGGTGGCCGCCATCTGTTCGCATTTTTTGCGCATGGGGATCCACGAGATATCCGGGATGATTTTGGAACTTCGGTGTGTGTGTGTGTGTGCAAAAACACCAAATGCCTCGCCGGACATTTAGAAATGCTGGCTACGGGGACTCATTGGATCCAGTGGTTCTAGATTGGTCCGTCATAGGTTCACGGCTGGGGGGGCAGGTTGCAGGCTGGGCAGAGCTTCACAAACGGAGGTGGGAGGTTTCATGGTTCCTGCAGACATCCGCTCTACACAGCTTCCAGGGCTTGGCTCGGCTTCTTACCAGAGAGCTAAGCATGGAGGATCGCCGCTGCTGCCTGTGCTACTAACGCTACGAGCTCAGACCTCCCGATGTAGCTCAAAACCGCTCGCCATGGCGAAGATTCCTCGAGTCACTCTTCGGACGAGTTTGCTGGCCTGGGCCGCCATCACCCTGGCTTTTGCGTGGACGGGCTCAAGACCATGGCTTATCTTCTCAGCGGCTGAAGTCTCAGAGCCTTCTCCGGTCGAGTTCGTCCGGAAGAAAGATAACCCCTTTGTGGATGCAGTGGCGGGCACCATTTGTGCTGGCATCGCTTTTTCCCTCCTTTGGCTCAATGAAGGCCATGCTGTGAAGATAGAGCAGCTGCTAGATTTGGTTCGACGTCGTGTCCGGGAGATTGGGACGTCGGCGTTGCCGGAAAATGAAAGGCATCTTGTGTTCTTGAATGGGGATGCCAGGACGACTGATCAGTTGGTACTGCCAGAGTGGGGTGGTGTATCTGCCCCTGCCAACTCTGCCAAACTCAGGGCGCAACTTGCTTATTTTGTGCCAGCATCTCAAGTTTCAAAATGTTGTTTTCTGATTCAAGCTTGCACAGTTCTGACTTGCATCTAGTTTGCAGACAGTGACTCAGCCAGTGAGGCAAGCCTTCATGTACCAATGGGAGGAGGAGAAGGACGACAAGAGCGTGAAGTACAACCAAGTTTGGAAGAACCACCGAGTAAACTCGGACCGATTTCAAGAATCCGGACATGACAATCCGATGTTCCCGGTGGCTCCGACTTGCATGAAGTTGGCAAAGGTGGCCGTGGGAGACTTTGTCTTATCCAAGAAGATGTGGCTTGGGTTTAAACGGTTGCTGAATTCTCCTCATGCAAACAAAATCCCGTCAGCCCTATTCCCTGTAGTGAGGTGGCAAACAAATGCCCCGTGGCCTGAAGGTTGGGAAAGCTCCAAAGTTACCAGCCCTGCGAAGTGAGTGAAGATGTGCTGCAAGCGATTTGCGCGAATCCGCGGATGAGCGCCTATTTAGGCTGGACTCGCTTTCATGTTTCAGGTTTTATGCCGTGAGGGGCTGAGCTCGAAGCAGGCAGAGGGGTCCTGCTGCAACAAAAGGTGGTTCAGGGTTCAAGGTTGCCTAAGCTTTGGACTTCTAAAGACGCAATTTCGAAGCTTTAAGAGCACGTTGTAGCTCATCAGAAACAAGATTAGGTTAATGTTGGTTTTACATGGGATGGAATAATGAGAGGCGAGCCCCGCCATTTCCAGTCGAACTTGTGGTGGTCCGAATCGAGCAAGCCTGCGCTGTTCTTCACTTTGCGGGGCAACGTTGGTTCTTCTCCCACGACACCACGGATCCTAGGTTCTTTGTCAGCTTCTTTCATGTCTTTGGAGGAACCAGTAGCGGCCGGCATACTACAGTGGCGTTACAATGGTGCAGCATGCTCGGGAGCTACTGTAGATTTATGGGGAAGTAGAAGTAGAAGTAGACGTAGCCGTAGAGGTAGGGGTAGGGGTAGGGGTAGAGGTCGAGGTATATAGAGGTGGAAGTGGAAGTGGAAGTAGAAGTAGAAGTAGGAAAAGTAGTAGTCGTCGTCGTCGTAGCACAGCAGCAGGAGCAGCAGCAGGAGAGGAGGTAGTAGCAGTAAAAAGGAGGAGGGGGAGGCGGAGGAGTAGTAGTAGTAGTAGTAGTAGTAGTAGTAGTAGTAGTAGTAGTAGTAGTAGTAGTAGTAGTAGTCCTGGTACTGGTACTGGTACTAGTACTAGTACTAGTAGCAGCAGCAGTAGCAGCAGGAGGAGGAGTAGTAGTGGTAGTGGTCGTGGTCGCGGTCGTGGTCGTGGCAGCAACAGCAGCAGCAGGAGGAGAGGAGGAGGAGAAGTAGTACTACGACGGCTACTGTGTTTGCCATAGTATACTCACCCTCTTGCAGTAGACTCCTGGACGTAGGGGCCTGAAAGGATCGGAGACCTCATGCTTATCTTCGAATATGTGCCGTGTGCTGCTGTGAGCCTCTTGGGTGTACAGGCCCGGTGAAGTAGGGGTTGCGGTTTAGGGTGTAGAGTGTGATAGTGTTCAAAGAGTTATACAGCCGGGGAAGATTGCAGTGAACCCCTACAGCGAACTGCCCCTGCAGCACCTAGATGCCCTTATGCCCTTGGCCTTGGCAGCAAAGGGATCAAGGGTTAGGTTGCTTTGGCGCAAGGGCTTTCGGGGGCTCGTGTGTATCATAGAGTACCGCAGTAAACCACAAAAAGTACACCATATTTAGTTGAGGGCTTAGGATCAACGGGGGTTGGTCGCCTTTGTGGGAAACTACAGTGTTTTCTGACACTAGAACAGCCTGATACTGATTCAGCACAGCATGACCACCATATTGAGGGCACACTATAGCGCCTAACAGCGCCGAGACGGTTTCGCGAAAATCGCTCATGTGGGTTTTTGGTACAGCGCCTATTGGGAGCCACCGGAGGCTCCCACGTTTCGACGCTGCATATAGACGTAGCAGATGACTGCAGAATTTGATGGGTCATAGCGCAGTCTTGTGCAGCTTGTGCAGCACGTTATAGAAGAGCTAGTAGTTCGTAGCAGAGACATAGACATCAATGTGTCAGGGTCAATGTGCTGTCATTTCACTTCTTTCATTGTTTCCAGGCGTTGATGTAATCTTCGAAAGCAACAAGGTTGTTTCAAAACATGATCCTGCGTGAGTTGAAGCCCCAAGCCCCGAAACTGAAACGTGAATCTTGTGGTTCGCCACATCGCATCAGGTGCCTTTTGAAGCAGATGCCGGCAAGATCTTGGTTCCAGGCTTGCGTTGCCGAGTTCAGGACAGGGCGGCAGAGATCTGTGAGGTCACCCCACCTCCGTTGCCAATAAAGGCGGGCTGTAGGTTCATGGGGGTAACATGGCGAGAGTCTGCGTGCGCCACGCCACGCCCACACATGCTTTACTCCGCACGCGGCCAAGACAGCGAACTTCCTTAACTCAAGAACCACCTTCTGGAGAACCATAACATTCTGAACACCATCATAGAACACGAGAAACGCGGAAGCTGAAACCCTAAACCCTAAACCCTAAACCCTAAACCCTAAACCCTAAACCCTAAACCCTAAACCCTAAACCCTAAACCCCAAACCCCAAACCCTAAACCCCAAACCCTAAACCCTAAACCCTAAACCCTAAACCCTAAGCCCTAAGCCCTAAGCCCTAAACCCTAACCCCTAAACCCTAAACCCCAAACCCTAAACCCTAAACCCTAAACCCTAAACCCTAACCTTACCTTTTCCCCGAAAACGCTTGCGAAACGGGTGGGAAAAAACCCTAAACCCTAAACCCTAAACCAGAGTGCTTGACTCTTTCAAGATGCTGTTTCTCTAAGTGCCAATCCTGGGCGAATAGTGCCAATTTGACCCTGGAGGCTAGACCCCAGCTGGAGTGAACCTCCACTTCTACATCCGAGATGATCCTATCTTAAAGACTACACCCGAACTTGCAAAACCTAAAGTATAAAAACTCCAAGCTGTTTGGGAGGTGCATTTCACTGAGCAATCGTTCGGGGAGGACACCGAGGCTTAGCATTGCAGGTTTTGGACTTACGGTTGAGGCTTTCGGGTTAAGGGTTAAGGAGCCTCAAATTGAAGCAGCGCTGGGAAATCGGGGCTTTGGGATTGGAGCTTGGGATTTGGTCTGGGATGCAGGTTTTTTTTGGTTTCTCCGCGAGGGTTTTCAGTATATTGTTCATGGTAGATGTTTACTTTTTCCGTGCTTTCATGTTGTGCAGGAGATGTGTGAAACCCTAAACCCTTAATCCTAAACCCTAAATGCTAAACCCTAAACCCTAAACCCTAAACCCTAAACCCTAAACCCTAAACCCTAAACCCTAAACCCTAAACCCGAAACCCGAAACCCTAAACTAAAGCGAGCTGCGGGTGCTGCGATAAACAGCAGCGAGCGATACCGCGTGGCGACAGCCCGCGGACGAGCCCGAGCCGTCAAGCGAAGCCTGGCGAGGGCGAGGGGCGGTGCACGCGATCAGCGCGGCCCACGCATAGAAGGGTTGAACCCGCTGAAAGCGTCAGCCTGGCCCAAAGAGAGGCATTTCAGCCTTTTTGGGCTTCTCCCGCACCATTTCTGAGCCTTCTTGGGCCTCTCCCACACCATTTCTGAGCTTTTTTGGGCCCGACCATTCTGCCAAGCCATTCCTCACCACCTGAACCGAGGATTTTATGAACCTTTGAACCGAGGATATTGCGTGTGACTGGGGCCTTTCGTCTAAAGTCATCTTCACCACCTGAAATCGTCGACGGCTTTTGAGCCGAGGATTTTACGTGTGACTGGGGCCTCTCGTCTAAAGTCACCCTCGGAATTGGGGTTTATAAATCGTCGACGGCTTTTGAGCCGAGGATATTACGTGTGAAGGCTATATACGGAAAGCGATAGCCCAACAAGTATATGAAAACCCTAAACCCGCCCAAGGTTGAGATGTGGGTGGGTAGGTTGGAGAGAGCATTGCACCTGGGCGCACACCGCAACACACGTCCCGCGTGGTGGTGTGCGCGGAACATTTAGCAAACAATAAACCCTAATCCCTCAACCCTCAACCTTCAACCCTCAACCCTCAACCCTCAACCCTAGACCCTAGACCCTAGACCCTAAACCCTAAACCCTAAACTTTTTAAACCCTAAACCCTAACCCTAAACCCTAAACCCTAAACCGTGGAGCATGGCTAGACGGATGGCAATAAAACCCTAAGCCCTAAGCCCTAAGCCCTAAGCCCTAAGCCCTAAGCCCTAAGCCCTAAACCCTAAACCCTAGACCCTAGGCCGGATGTAAGGACTACTTCGAGATGAGCGATGTGGTTTGTACGGATCCTTTGGAGCCATGGGAGGTGGGGCCGAACCAGTGGACCTTCGTGCCACTGCGACTTTGAAGGCACGGAAGTTTCAAGTAGTCGATTTAGGGTTTAGGGTTTGGGGTTTGGGGTTTAGGGTTTAGGGTTAAGTCTGCGGACATCTCGGCAGAAATGTGCCAGAAGGATTCTATACGTTTTGCGGGCTCCGAAAGTGTACTTGTGTTTTTTTCATGGGACTTTCTACTGCGGGAGCGGCTTCGAATGCAAGCAGCAGGGAGTTCGGTTGTTGGACTTGGGTAAAGCCGAGGCAATTCAATGAGAACAAGGCGGTGCGATCTATGTGGATCAGAGCTAACACTGCCACAACGAACATCGCCGACGAAATGGGGCGCACACTGCTGGGTGAGAACGAGGTGGACATTTACATCGAGGACGACCGATCCATCATATTGCATCTCCAGCACGGAGTGGACCAGATGTCTCCTGTTGGTCAAATTGGTCAAAAAGAAGTGCTGTCGGTGCTTTCGTTTTCTGCTGCCTCTTGGAACGGCAGTAGTCGGGAGAAAGCTTTACCCAATAGGCCATAGGCCCAGCCAAGGTTAAAGATGTTGAAGCAGACTCTCAATTGCGTGAAGCTGGCCTCTGCGTTCCTAGATGGCTCATCTCCTGATGAACTTTGCCTTGCGTTTGAGGGCACGTACTCTTGCGAAGCGGTGATCATGAAGGAGAAGGACATGCGGGGTTTCAAAGAGTTCCTACACGCATTGTAGGCCTTATCGGGTCACGTCGAGTATTCTGTCAGATGAAACTGCACAAGTTGTTTTACTGCAATGATGTGCATTATCCTCACCCTGAACCCTGTCCGATGTAGGCAGCTATCGTCACTTATGGTCTTTAGAGACTTTAGAGAAAAGAATCTGTGGGGTCGCCCCCAAACTCAACAATGAAAGGGTTCAGGGCGCGCCAGAAGAAACCCCAACACCCTGCATTAGAAGCTGTGCCACACTGTCCCCCCCCCCCCCGGGCCTAACCCAACCCAAGCCAAGCCAAGCCAGAGCCTGAACATAATTTAGTGAGAGGGAGAATAGCAAGGCCCTCATAGGAAAGGCATGGGAAGTGCAAAGGTCTGTGTAAATCGAGTGAGGTCTATGTAGAAAAGCATCTGAAATATGAGGTGTCAAATGCGTCGACCGGGGCGAATGCACAATGTAACTGCAAAAACATTGTGGAATGAGAAGAAAAAACACAGCGCCAACTACGCAAACTCTTGATAGCGGTAGTGGTGGTAGTGGTGTTGGTTGTAGTTGTAGCTGTAGCTGTAGATGTAGATGTAGCTGTAGCTGTAGCTGTAGCTGTAGTTGTAGTTGTAGTGGTAGTGGTAGTTGTAGTAGTAGTAGTAGTAGTAGTAGTAGTAGTAGTAGTAGTAGTAGTAGTAGTAGTAGTAGTAGTAGTAGTAGTAGTAGTAGTAGTAGTAGTAGTAGTTAGTAGTTAGTAGTTAGTAGTTAGTAGTTAGTAGTAAGTAGTAAGTAGTAAGTAGTAAGTAGTAAGTAGTAAGTAGTAAGTAGTAAGTAGTAAGTAGTAAGTAGTAAGTAGTAAGTAGTAAGTAGTAAGTAGTAAGTAGTAAGTAGTAAGTAGTAAGTAGTAAGTACTAAGTAGTAAGTAGTAAGTAGTAAGTAGTAAGTAGTAAGTAGTAAGTAGTAAGTAGTAAGTAGTAAGTAGTAAGTAGTAAGTAGTAAGTAGTAAGTAGTAAGTAGTAAGTAGTAAGTAGTAAGTAGTAAGTAGTAAGTAGCAAGTAGTAAGTAGTAAGTAGTAAGTAGTAAGTAGTAAGTAGTAAGTAGTAAGTAGTAAGTAATAAGTAGTAAGTAGTAAGTAGCAAGTAGCAAGTAGCAAGTAGCAAGTAGTAAGTGGTAAGTGGTAAGTGGTAAGGAATAAGGAGTAAGCAGTAAGTAGTAAGTAGTAAGTAGTAAGTAGTAAGTAGTAAGTAGTAAGTAGTAAGTAGTAAGTAGTAGGTAGTAAGTAGTAAGTAGTAAGTAGTAAGTAGTAAGTAGTAAGTAGTAAGTAGTAAGTAGTAAGTAGTAAGTAGTAAGTAGTAAGTAGTAAGTAAGTAGTAAGTAGTAAGTAGTAAGTAGTAAGTAGTAAGTAGTAAGTAGTAAGTAGTAAGTAGTATGTAGTATGTAGTAAGTAGTAAGTAGTAAGTAGTAAGTAGTAAGTAGTACGTAGTAAGTAGTAAGTAGTAAGTAGTAAGTAGTAAGTAGTAAGTAGTAAGTAGTAAGTAGTAAGTAGTAAGTAGTAAGTAGTAAGTAGTAAGTAGTAAGTAGTCAGTAGTAAGTAGTAAGTAGTAAGTAGTAAGTAGTAAGTAGTAAGTAGTAAGTAGTAAGTAGCCAGTAGCAGTAGTAGTAGTAGTAGTAGTAGTAGTAGTAGTAGTAGTAGTAGTAGTAGTAGTAGTAGTAGTAGTAGTAGTAGTAGTAGTAGTAGTAGTAGTAGTAGCAGCAGCAGCAGTAGCAGCAGGAAGCTGCGCTCGAGCGTGAAGTGCTTCTGGCCGCAAACTGTGTCAATTGTGTTCTCATCCCAGCCGCCCAAAGCTTTTTTTGGTTTTTTAATAAGAAAGAAGAGGCAAGGCCAAATAGTACGTAAAGGTCCATGCCACTTAGGGGTTTAGGGTTGAGGGTGGGGAAGGTGGGGAAGGTGGGCAAGGTGGAGAAGGTGGGAAAGGTGGGGAAGGTGGGGCAGGTGGGAAGGTGGAAAGGTGGGAAGGTGGAAAGGTGGGAAGGTGGGGAAGGTGGGGAAGGTGGGAAAGGTGGGAAATGGGAAGGTGGGAAAGGTGGGGAAGGTGGGAAGGTGGGAAGGGTGGGCAAGGTGGGAAGGTGGGAAGGTGGGGAAGGTGGGAAAGTGGGAAGGTGGGAAGGTGGGAAGGTAGGTGGGAAAGGTGGGCAAGGTGGGAAAGGTGGGAAAGGTGGTGAAGGTGGGGTGGGAAAGGTGGGTGGGAAAGGTGGGAAAGGAATCCGGTTCACAAAAAAAATTTAAACGCGCCTTCATCGTGGATTTTAACCATGCCTTCTCATCTCGAGTTCCGCTTTCTCATTTTTGTGAATCATAGTTCTTGGGGGGTGCACCCGGGGGGTGAACACTACTGCTGCTGCTGCTGCTACTACTACTACTACTACTACTACTGCTGCTACTACTACTACTACTACTACTACTACTAGTACTGCTACTACTGCTATCGCTACTACTACTACTACTACTACTACTACTACTACTACTACTACTACTACTACTGCTACTACTACTACTACTACTACTACTACTACTACTCCTGCTGCTACTACTACTACTACTATTACTACTACTACTACTACTACTACTACTACTACTACTACTACTACTACTACTACTACTACTACTACTACTACTACTACTACACCACTACTACTACTACTACTACTACTACTACTACTACTACTACTACTACTACTACTACTACTACTCCTACTGCTACTGCTACTGCTGCTGCTGCTGCTGCTGCTGCTGCTGCTACTGCTACTGCTACTGCTGCTGCTGCTGCTACTGCTACTGCTACTGCTGCTGCTACTACTGCTACTACGACTACTACGACTACCACCTCCTGCTCTCCACTTCTCTACTACTACAACAATTGCAAGTACTACTGCTACTACTACTACTACTACTACCACCACCACTACTACTACTACTACTACTACTACTACTACTACTACTACTACTACTACTACTACTACTACTACTAACTACTAACTACTAAGTACTAACTACGAACTACTAGCTACTAACTACTAACTACTAACTACTAACTACTAACTACTAACTACTAACTACTAACTACTTACTACTTACTACTTCCTACTTACTTCTAGCTACTAGCTACTAGCTACTAGCTACTAACTACTAACTACTAACTACTAACTACTAACTACTAACTACTAGCTACTAGCTACTAGCTACTAGCTACTAGCTACTGGCTACTGGCTACTAGCTACTAACTACTAACTACAAACTACTAACTACTAACTAGTAGCTACTACTACTACTACTACCACCACTACTAAGGGAATGGGAAAGCGAAGAAGGCCAAGGGAGACAAAGGAGGTACAAGCCAGGAAGCGCATCGTGAAGTACGACCTCACGAGGAGATACACTGCCAAGGACATTGCGCCTTGGACACAAGTCATTGATGCCTTGGCGCAAGGCCAAGCGCAACCCAACCCGGGGTAACTGTTTGCCCCACGAATGTGATGACGCGCATCTTTACGGCTTGCAAGGCTCCACAAGATTGAGGACAATCGTCGCGAAGAAGATCGATGGAGAAAGGTCTCCGGACCCGCTGAAGAAAGACGTTAAGTTGTGGCCATGGGTACAGATCGCACCCAGTCCGATTGAGAAAGACAAGGCGGAGCCTTCAGTCTTGACCACACTGAGGGCCACTTCTCCGCCTTATCTATGAGGCCTCGAGGAAATCGGTTTGGCAAGATGAGGTCAACGTCCTTAGAAAGGCCAATGTGGTGGAAATGACCAAGAGCTTCTTGCGCAGAATTGGGAGAGACCAGGTGACGTCGTGATCTTCTACCTGAAGGCACCGCGTGAGGTTGCCCGTTCCTGAGCATCGAAGATTGATAGAAGAACACGTCTTCAGATTGGTTTTGAGATTTACTTTTTGTTTTGATACGTCAGCAGTGTTCTGCGTCGTCCAGTGTCTCTAGGGCACAGTCCGTGTACGAGGATGTAATTACCTTCGAAGAGGCAATCTCTCGCAATCTTTCACACTGATGGCGTCAAACAAGTTCGCTTGGACAAGCCCATCGTTGTACGCAAACAGCCGGGCTGTGTCAAGACCGGAGATCCCTGCCAGGGGCGAGATCATACATGAGGTGAAGAAAAAGGTGCAGTTTCTCAATGTGCTCATGGACTGGGAGGGTGAATTGAACTTGAAGAAGGTTGAAGAACTCTTTGTACAACAACGCTACGCCGATCTCCCACATCCCATCCGTGTGAGCTGTGGAAACCATACGCCCTATGACATGCAGGTTTTGGTCGTGCCCGAAGGTTCGAATTTAAGTGGGACATCGTCAAGCACATTAAATTCACCGAGGGGACAAAAGTACTGCGCATGTGCACAGCTCGAGATTGACTACTGCAAGCAGTGCCGCGAGGGTGGCCGAGCGCTGCAGTATCTTCTCGAGGCTATGGGCGGCTTCCAGGTCCGTTGCTGAAAACTGATTCCCGCTGCATGGGGTGCCAATCCGGAACTTCAGATTCTGTGCGAGCTTTTGAAGGTCACCGCTCAGGTGGCCACTTCGTGGGACGAGATCATGGAGTTGAACACTGGTCAAACGCAGCTCGCTCAGCTTCACTTTCAATACGACCCTGCCATTGGGAACTTGTGGAGGAGGCTGATCCCGAGTCCTGGCGGGCGATGAAGAGACAACTGGAGGTGACACCAGAACAGGTTGACCCTTCTCTTTGTGGTGGCAATTGTTTGCGAGGTGGGGTTCGAGCTCTGAGTGATTTTGCCTCTGAGTCCTAAGCGAGCTCGTGCAAGGACAAGTCTGCAGGTGGTCGTTCACTCGCTGCTGATCGTGATGTTGCTTTGCCAAGGCAAATCGCATAAGGGTAGGTCGGGTTTTGCCACTGAACCAGGGGAAGAAGCTCACGTACCTGTCCAGCAGGAGTGTGGGAGTGCGATTTCGGCTCCTAC